TGGGGTCGCGTCATAACGCGTCATACAAGTTTCGCATTAATCAGCCTGGCGTGAAATAAAACCGACGAGGCATGCTATCGCTGCAACGGCACCGATCCTTTGCGTTGCAATCTAAATCGATCTGGTTTACATTTTGAGCGTGAAACCGAGCGTTTCTGGTATGCTCCATTGTCCCTGCTACCGCTGTTTTCGCCCCTATTACGGACTCACTCTTTTTATAGGTATCGCGGTTTTATTACTTTGTTTATATTATTCCACTATTCGCACATATGTAACGAACACCATTTGCCTCGCTTTGCACGCTCTTCGGACACTTTATTGCCACGTTGACTCAGCATTTATGGCCCTCTCCAACAATTATTTCATTCGTTTCATTTTTATTTCAATGAGCATATATTACAGTTTTATAGAATATTACGTCGTTTTAGAATCGTCACAATTAAATTTAATTATTTTTCATCGATCAATACGATTAACATATGTATTATTATTTATTATTTGATATTTTATTAGAATATTTTAATTTCTATTAAAGTGCAAATATATCGTAATAATAATATGGACGTATATGAAATGTTAAAGAGGTTCAAACATTCATACATTAATAAAATATCAAATAATTCATAGTGACATACATGTTAATTGAATAATTACAACGTTTACAACGTATATGTTACAATATGTAACAATAATGTTCTTACATTATCTTTTCTTAGTGGTCAGTCAAACCAGTTAAGGATTTTTAACACAAACTAAACAATTTGAAGCATTTATTTCGTAACAAGAACATAGAACAGAGAAGAAAAAAATAAAATATAAATAAACATTGGTTGAGCGATGCTGAAAGGGTAAGGTTCAGTGTATTGTTGTTCTACAACTTAACCCTGCAATTTTCTACATGACTAACAATTAAGTATCGATTCCCGTCCTTAAAGTGGATTTACCGAACAATGTTTACCATGGATCGCCGTACACAGTAAAAGTTTCCGTTACGTCGGAACGCATACGAGAATTTATTGCGTCCAATTGTTTTTAACTGTTCTCGTCCTTAAGGTTCCCATAGGGGAAAGCAAGGTCGCTGTGACACGCACAGATAAATTTACACAGTCACGCACGAGAAGTAGGTAGAGAGAGACGATTAAGTAAAGGCCGTTGGCATGGTTACAACCCCAAGTCGAACGAATTCATCCTCCGAAAAAATTCCTCCTCATCCGAGAGGGTAGAAAAACGGCGGTGAATTTTTCTATAAACAAGTTTGACTTTCCGGCTTCGAACCAGATGCTTGACGTCTTCGAACAGTGGTGTCTTCGGATGACGTACGTTGTTCCAAGTTTTTGACATTGGGAATTTAAAGAAAAACTGGTTAGAAGCGTGTTTTTAAATTTCAATTTTTAACGTTTGAAACGACGTAAGGTTATTAGACTGAATTATTCAAATAAAGAATCAGTGTTATCTACTCTTGGTACTTGATAACTAATCATTTGAACAAATTAATGATGCGAGTGATAAGTAGAAATAATAAGGACTTCCAATAAAGGATCCAATATTTTTATATTATTGTAAGTTGCGGGATTGGTTCATTGTACGACACGATGAAATGCAAATTGAACAATAAGTGACGGCGCAAATACACGACGCGGCCATCCTTTGCATTTAATTATGTACTTAATTACGGGACATGCGGAAGCTTCGACTTTGAAAAGCGGATCAATACGTCAATGTCACCGGTCGGGATCGATAAAACTGTTATAAATTGCGCCTTGCCTTCATAGATTCCTTGTTTACGGCAAGCACCGATAAGACTTCCATCGAGGGAGGCAATCGATTCGATTAATTTGAACGGGAATTAATTGAGAGCCAAGAAGCTCCCTTGTTGCTACATCGTTGCCAATAGATACGAGATAAGGTGGTCTTCGGACATTTGGTCGAACATTTCGCCTGCAGACGCAATGAATTGCGTTATGTCGTTATATTGATAGAATTATAATTTCTATTGCGCGTTATTCGGGTTCCACGGAAATCGACACCGATTTCGCTGACCAGAATTCATCGACACTAGTTTTGATCGACACTAATATTGACCGCGATATATATTCTCTGCGTGGATAATTGCATACATATAGTAGATAACTCTTTAAATTAAACTCTCTGCATAATTAAACGATTGAAAGTAAAATAAATCGTCCAAGTAAAGAAATAAAGAAAATAGCACTCGTTTAAACTCAAGTACCCAAATAGTCACTTTTTAAAGAGTACGAGGATTATATGGTGGACACTGGTGTGCAGAATAACATATTTGAATTTCAGAAAGATAGGTTTGATAGATTTTCTTTTTATCCTGACAAACAGATGCAAAATGATGTTTCTAGAAAAACACGTTTAAACCTTTAGTGACACGTGGGCACGCGATTGACAACCCTTCACGGATCATTTAATATCTTCGTTAATTTTACGAACTTTATCATAACTTGGAGAGAGCATTTTTTAAATGTACATATGTCTTACAGAAAATGAAAGAAGAAAATTGATTTTTTCAAATTGTTACTGTGATGTGTTCTCTTATAACTTTCATTCGTGCTTAATTTCACTATGACGTCTATCAGTTTCGATCGGCTGCAAATAGCCTCTCCAAATTTTAATAGTGTATTTTTAAATATACTTACTTTCGAAACTAGAACAAAAATTGATATTTTTAAAGTTTTACACTGGAAAGATCACTTAAACCAATTGGGAGTTTTCATCTCTGAGATAATCAATTCTTCTATATTCTATAATCGAATTTGATTTTCACAGATGTATAAATCACTTATTAAAGAATAGTGTACAGTCTAACAATCTTTTTAAATATTTCATTATACTTATCGTGACGCTTTAAGGCTACAGTTTTCATTGATTCACGTAATTTTGAAACACGCGAGGAAGAAACTGCGCGTAGAGCAAGTAGAATGGTATTGTCTGTGTCTTACCGGCACTGGCCGTTTCTACTGCACGGCCTTTTTTACTGATTTACTTATTTCTAATGGTAAACTCGCATTTGTACGATACTTTTCCTGGGTAAATGTCTTCTTGTTGTACGATTTTTACATTACGATCACGATCTTTTAACTCTTAATAGACGTCAAGTTGGAGATTTTTTTTCTAAAAGACGCATTTATATTTTTTAATGAAATTGGTCACATTTAATAAATTGGCACTCCTTAATATTACAACAAAAATAATTCAAAAATGTTTATTCATCAAAAATATAAATATGAAAATAAAGTTATTATGGGGTGTGTTGCAATAAGAAGGAAAATTTGAAAAAATGGAGCTACCTCTTTATTGCTGCACACCCCTCAATTCAAAAAGTTTTAGTTAATATATTATTAATATATCTCCAATTTGAACAAAGCATTTTACAAAATATTATTTTGCGATAAAATAGCGATCACCTAAATAAATTGTCGATTCTCGGACAAAAAACGCCCCTTTTCGATTACACAGATATTAAATATTATGCAAAAGCTTTAAAAACATAAACTAAATTGCTTCACTAGCTTTTGAGATACCGTAGTCACCGATTAAGAAGAAATCATTTCGAGAAAAACACATTTAAACTTTCAAATTCAATTTACGCATGAAGTCGTTTATCTTCAACTTCAAGCGGATTGACTTGAAATTTTCAGGGGCTATTTTTACCATCATATACCGTAAGAAAACGTCCAAAAAGTCAAAAATTTAAGTGTTCTGATCGGACATGCCCCATTAATAAGAAAAAAAATATAGTATTCTTCCATATTAATTAGCGTTAGTACAACATTTGTCGCGTATGCACCACGTACGTAAGGGTTAACGTATGATTCAATTAAAGCAACACAAAAGCTGTTTTAACAAGTGCGCGGTAAGCTCTTCTGACAAATTTAACACTCCGAAAGAATTAACCGGTGTCCCGCGTTTCCGGCGGCAGTTTCGATTCAAATAACAAAACGATTGTGTAAACCGTTGCTTTAAAATGTTTATAAAGTCTGTTCAATAGCGAACCAACAGCACTTGTCTGAAAATCCGACGGGAGTGCTCATTCTTAACTAATACCTCCTGACACTGTAAGCCCTTGAGAACTTCATCAAAACTTTCGTAGACAAAACAACGGAGGTGCTTCATAGTTCGCGGAGCTTTGGCCTCTTGAAAAATCTCGCGGGAACCATCATGTTCGCTGGTAGTGGTCGAAATTCTGGGAATGTGGAACGTAACGTAATGCCATCAAGGAATTCCGAGTTTCAGATTATGGGCGGTTGGCTTTGCCTCGTTCGAAGCAATCGATAAGCAGACACGAAGACGTGAAAGGATCGTCTCGATACGCTGTACAATATGCTACTACGTCTCTGATTCTCTCGCGTTATGTATTTCTTATGAACATACGTATATCAGCCGGAACATACGAACAAACGAGTATAAGATAAATGGCATAACGAATATCAAGGAATAAAATCAAAGAAAATAAAAGAAAACTGGAAGAAAATAGAATTGATGAGGCACATAGAATAAGATGAAAGTGAAGAAATGAATACTTTCTTTCCTTTTTTGTCTTTACTAGAAAAGATAGAGAAAATGCTTACTCAATTATTTTTGGAATGCAATGAGAAAATGTAAATAGAGAAATCATGTAAAAAAAAATAATGTAAGGATTGTAATAATGGGGAATTAAATGTTAAAATCGAGTACACTTCTGTGCACTCTAATAAATGAAATAACAAACTTTGTTTGTATAAAATTTATTTATTCATCTTGAATCATTTTTATAGGATATTTTTAATATCCATTTTTTTAAGGATATTTTTAATATCCTTGTTGTTAATAATTCGTCTGACATCCGTCGGATAAGACGTTCTAGAAATATACTCTTTGATTAATAATTCGCATTAACCCCGTAAGTTTGTTGGTAACAACCGAACGAGAATCCAAACTGTAATAACTCTCGTGGCCCGAGGGCGCAATCTGAACGTGTTTGTTTCGTGTTTCAGGGCTCGGCAGACTCGAACTACTCGCAGCCGAGCTCAGATCTCTCGCTGGACGAGGAGAAAGAGAGCTTACGTCGCGAGAAGGAGAGGCAGGCCCTCAATCAACTTGAAAAAGCCAGGGTAAGTCATTGATCTTTCGCATGTTCCAGTTTCCTCTCCTTCCATCGCCTGCTGTTTTTCCATGAGTCTTTCGTAAATCGTTCGTATCGATCGAGCGTCTTCCGGACAGAGGATGGGGGTCGGTGCTTCCGACGCCAGCCTCGCGAAGCGTCTGAGTCGCCGCCAGGGAATGAAAAGCGTGTCAATGAATACGCGCGCCAGACTAATGAGATTTCACGCGGTGGCTGCTGGCGAAACCAATTAGACGTTTCGCGATCCTTTGTCGCGATGATAGATGCGAACGCTTTGTAAGCTTTGCGAGGCGCGCCGATATTATTGCCTTTGATTATACGTTTCCTTGATACCAATACACGATATTCGAGCCATTGATCGTGTAATTGTCAGCTGACAATGCCATACAATTCCCAATGACTGCACTTTTTGTCCTCTGTTATTCGTAATTACTCGTAACCGAGCTGGAGTAAGCGTATCGGGGTGTCTCGGATGATTAAAAGTATTCCTCGTGATCCTTCAGAGATAATTGTTATGAGATAATTCTTCTCGGATGGCTCGAGCATGTATTTGTATTCAATTTAAACGAATACCTTTTTTTGCCTGAAATTTTTACAAAGTCACATACATTTTTCCATACATTTTTACAAAAATAATGCTGTTAAAATGTGATCAATGAATTCTGTATATTGATTGTGTCATTTGATGCAGGGGATGTATATCTGTAGAGCGAGGTAATTGTCCCAAGCAGTGTGTTTCTTCTTTTTGCCTGTTTGCGTTTTTTTTGTACGTAACGAACTTGAGCGTGTGCTTGCTGCGCGCACATCTATATGGCTCGAAACCACGTTTGCCGTATATTGCGCATAATACGTAATTAGTCACGAATAGAAACTCTGTTCAAAAAATGCCAAATGTGTTACTTTTCCTTAAGTATGATTCTGTTTAGTTTGCATACAAAATATAAATGTATATAGCCCTTTCTCGAAAGTGTTTACTTTCGCGCCTATTCGCTTTTCTGCTGCGTGCTGTTTCTATAGAGTCATATACATAGTTTGTATTCAGATTTTATGGAGATTACTTCAACCAGATAAAATTAGAGAAGTTCAACCGCAACACGAAAGTATGTATCCATACTAAAATTGATATATAAATTCATAGAAATCGTGTGTATATTATATTTTAATTCATTTTTATTAGAATGCCACGTGGAACATTATTAACAAGTGAAGAGAAGGCATCAATGCTTATAGGGATATGGGATATTCTAATCGTGCAATTGTCAAAAGACATAATAAATCACGCACTCTTAAAAATGACATAAAAACAAAATGACAAATAATATAAAATAAGATGAAAAATAAGATGATAAAACCCTTCTGACAAGTGATAACATCTGTAACTAAAGTTGAAAAGTGTAGCACAACATTGCAATAAATTGATTACTTTGAACTGATTACTACAAGGTGTATGTGGTAAATTTGAAAAAGATTTGCGTGGCTCGCTGCAGAAGAATGTAACAGAAATTGACACTTAAAGCAATACACAAATAGGTCCATTCCAAATTTGCACAGACACACCAGACGGCTTTAAATATTATTGGCATGAATTACGAAAAGAAAAGACTTTGGTGGTGGTTCGTTAATGATTTATTTAGTACTCAAAATCGGCAAAAAAAAACTTATTTGTCGTATTACATCCAAAATGAAGTCGATCGAATACATAGAATTGTTGAATTTACAGAACATATTGAAGTGTATTATTATTGTAGAAATTTGTTCATCAAAAAGGGGTTCAATTTGCATTTGGAAAAGTTATATTATAAATATTTAAAAATAATCATGTACCTACAACAAGTATTGGCAATCCCAATAAACAATTTTCGGAGATCCTTGAATACAACTGCTATTCATGCTCATCGGATCGTATACGATTACTATCACTTTTATGACCAAACTGTGGATGTTTATCGTTGCCAATAAAGCGGGAGTCTCCGTTTTAGGGATGGAAAGGATTATTCGGAAAGGAATCGAAGTGTCGATTGCTTGCATTTAAATTACGAATATAGTGGGCGCAAAAAGTATTGGCACATTGACTTTTAATCAAATATCATTCGTATTCGAACGTATTCAAATAATATATTAATACAAAATAAATATTCTCGCATCCTAAAAAGGTATCGGCACGCCTACTCTTTAATTATCAAATTAACAGTTCTTTTGAATTATAAAAAAAACATGTTTGTAATATTTCATGCGAGTGGTTTTAACATTAATTAAGTTTGTAATCGATTTGTCATCAATTCTACCAATCTCTCTATAGCTTTCGGGGCAATTTTCAACCATTCTTGCAATAGCCCATTCTTCGAAACATTTATATTGCTTATTTTTCGTTTTCAAATTTTTATTTCTATTTCTGTATGCTATATAATATCGAAACATGTATATTGTATTAATATACTACTCGAATTTATAAAGACATTTAACGAGACGCAAGTGTGACAGTATTTTTTTTATCCACTGTAGTTCCTGCCGAAGAAACATTCGTTTCGAAGTTCGGGAGCATGCTCGACCGATCAACCGAACTGAACAATAAATGAATATTGATTCACGGGACACGACCTTCGAGGTATAAGAGCGTCGCAATAAACACGGGGAACACCCTATCGATGTGGCACGCTTTTATTCTTTATTGACGGGGCGACCTGACACGTGAACAGCGTTGACAATGTACCGATCATCCGTGATCTCATCGGGTTTTTACTTTATGCGCCGGTTATGGTTGCGCAGATATCTCGCGTTTTACCGAATTACATCGTGACCTAATAGAAAAGTCGATATTGCGGGCAATAAAGCGAGTCACGTGACTGCCATGTTCATCCGCCATGACACCGGTGTTTCTTGAAAAACAAAATAACAATAGAGATGCTTTCACGTATAAAATAATAAGGATCGATATTTGACTACACGTTGCTTCGTAATAATTCGACTGCGGGTGTTTATAGATTTATGACAAGTCAAAATATGGTATAATGTATGAGAATGTGGACAACGGCAAAAATATAGAAAAAATCAACAATAGTGTATATGTTATACCGTTTAGAAAATTGGACATACTTGCATTCAAGATTCATTTCTTTTCCTGTATCTGTGAAGATATAAATTTGAATGGTAATAACAGAAACGCAACCACCAATGCGCAACCCTTATAATAAATTTCGCATCGTAAAACAGATAAAACGATGCAGGATCGAATAAAATGAATACTAATACATAATATAGCTGTCTCAAAACAAACACTATTTATTAGATTGAATCTTAGTCTAGAGTCATGTCACAAAACTATAAATATCACAACTAAACAAAAAAATCGAAAATAGAATACTGTCGCATAATATAGCTGTCTCAAAACAAACACTATTTACTATATTGAGTCTTGGTCTACAGTCATGTTCAGAATTACAAATATTGCAATCGTATATTACAAATATACAAATAATACGCTCGTTGAACGGCTCCGTCCGCAAAGAGTTAAAAAGAGAATTTCTCTCCCAAACAGGGTCAAAATTTTCATTTACATATAAAAATGCGCCTGTTAAAATTTGAGCTTATAACATTAAACAAAGAACGAGGAAACATCTTTTAAAAGTTTAAATTAAAATTCGTGTCAATAATGCTCGTTTCTTATTTCGAGACAGTCAAATATAGATCGATATTATTTGTACAAAATTTACGAAAAACATGCTGCTACGTTTTGTAAACGTCGCCAGAACGATATTAATGGAGAGTTTTTGTGAATCATTCAGACGAAACCGGTAGCGTTCGCAGTGCGGACCAACGTGAGTTACGATGGATCCGTCGACGACGATTCGCCAGTTCATGGCTCGGCGGTCAGCTTCGAGGTCCGCGACTTTCTGCACATCAAGGTAAATGGTTATAGTTTCACTGAAATATTGATACACTGTAAGCTATCTGGTCCACTTTAGGTACAATGACATTCATGTATACTGCTTCGAATAATTAGATCACCCATTCAAATTGATAAACTAGTGTTTTAACCCTTTACTGCATGAATTTTGTTCAACACTTTCGAACCTGAATTATTTTCTTTGGATGTAAGAAATATTTTTCGCTCGCCTTGAGTCAATTGTGACTTGCTAAATGTAATCGCTAAATGTAATTTGGTAAAAATGTAATCACATTTATTACCAAAAGCATATAAAATAATGCTTTGGAATTCGATATTTGTAATTGTCATGTTTACGGTCTAATTACAGATCAATTATGAGTATTTAAAATTTATTGCTCTAAAAAAATTATTATTTTGCATTAAACGATAATCTTAAAGACAACGTGCACTATAGATGATTGTACATCTTTGAATTAAGTAATACTCAAACTAAACAATACGTGGCTGAACCTGCAGATTTATTATATGTTCTCTTAAGAACACGTCATTCACAAATTTCGTAAAATATTCTCGGTAAATTTAACTGGGATTCACTTTAACCAGGTTCCCGATCGTGGACACTACGCGGTAGAGGGTTAAACGTAATTGTAGTATAGAAACTGTTACTCGTAGTATATAAACTGTTGCTGTGTGAGTTAAGCATGCGAAGAATAAACAGACCAACTTGTTGGATGTTGTAGTCGAAGCAGACACAATTGGCTGCTCAAGGTCTCCGAAGACTTACCCTCACCTCTTTGTTGTTTGTCAAGCGTAGTATCCTTGCATCATGTTTGAATGTCTACAGAAATTCAGATTTTGTAATCGATTGTTCCTTTAAATGAAAAAAATGTTGAAATTGAAATTAAACAAATGAATATGTAACACACGAGCGAGATGATAAGAGTCATTATTTTTAAATACTTCACCAACCGTCAAATGTTGACACGAACAGTCAGATATGATTGAAATATTTCTCGATTCTCGATCTATCTACGAGGTTTCATAAAAATCACCGCGTACCTCATACATCTCTATATAAAACCGAAAGACTCCTTGCGTGAAAATAAGGATCACCACATGCCCCATAGCGCGAAAAGTGGCCTTGAGCGGCCAACTGATTTTCAGTTCCAATTAAAAAGTAACGATGCCATAGATGACAAAAGATTCAGCAGAAGCTCGGGTGCTTCTAGCCATTGTTCGCATGCACGAGTAACGCTCGACTAAGATCCAGGACGAAATCTGAAGTAATCATTACCCACGATACCCCTCAGGAGAAGTACGACAACAACTGGTGGATAGGTAGGCTGGTGAAAGAGAACTCGGACGTTGGCTTCATCCCATCCCCGGAGAAGTTGGAAGCCCTGAGGCAGCAGGCGAGCGCTGCACGTGGCACAAAGGGTCTCTATTCGGCGCGCGGAGGGTCTTCAGGGAACCTTGGCGAGAGTGGTATGCCCTCACGTGGTTCCACACCACCTACACCAGGTATCCTAGCACGTCCTTCTTTCTTTCCCCGACCCGAAAACCACGGTGTATCTACCTGTTCGGGAATTCTCTCATCTTGACCGATCGATGTCCGACAGAGAAAACAGACGGAGGAGATCGTTTCTACGGCAAAATATAAAAGAGAGAGAGAGAGAGAAAGAAAGAGAGAGAGAGAGAGCGAAAGAGAAACAGAGTAAAAGACGACGTAACTTAACGAACACTTACGCTTCTGGCCCTAAGTATTTCAACACTCGAACACTGTAGCTTTTGTTCTTTTTCACACACGCATCACTCGCGAGCTTCTTATTTCCAATCACCACCTTTACCTTTTTAGTTGCTGGGTAAACTAGCAACGATTGGTATAGTGTGTTGAGCAATAGAGAGTTTAGTTATCGTTACGTGGGTCATTGGAAAAATCTTCCGAAGGAATGCAAAGATCAAACATAGGTTGAGATGATGACCCAGACAATGATAATACTAGGTCATCCTCTTCAAATGAACCGACTAAGATATTTGACGGTTTCACGATTAATACTAACCGAAGCTTTCGAAGCTCCGAAGTTTCGTCAGCACTGCAGTTGGCTGCTCAGGAGTCAAATAATATACCGATATTATTATTATGACGGATGACATTATTATTAGTGTGTCACTTGATCCCTGAAGAAACTAGATGAAATGCTGGGAAAATGTCGGAGTATCTTACCAAAGGAGACAACTTGCACCCGAAAACCTCGGTTAGTATCAATCGTAAACTTGCTACTTCAATTTTCGAGGGTCTTCAACTTTAGCTCCTTAAATATGTGTCATAATTAGAAGCTTCGTAATCGCTTTCAATTTTTGCATATGTTTTTGTTGTTTATCGGATCAAATTTCGCCACTTTTATTGTTTGAACATCGATGCATAATGTCGTGTTTGCATGCTCTTGTGTGTGACGCAATGAGAAAATTCATTCTCTCACAACGACCATCGTACAGCCTCGAAAAATTTCCAAAAGTCGATCAACTTTATGATTCTTTTCGATATCATTTCACGGATATATTCTATATATTCCATGCTTTCAAAAAAATTGAGAAAAAGAATCGACTTTTCCAACTCCTAAAGCGAGAAGACTCCTCGACTCAGTTGCAAGTAACTTTTCTTGTTGCAGATAATATAAATCCCTATAAATATTTGGGATCAATTTTAAAAATTGATCTCCCACGAGGGGATCAATCCCGACGACCTTCGTACGAATACACCGACTCGCTTAAATTAGTGCCAATTGCCATTCGCTTTCAATTTAATCAAGTACAACTACGATCAACCGATCACACCAAACGCTAGTCACCGCACTAGTCGATGCATACCTCTCAAGATACACACACACACACACATTCACACATATACAAACACGCACAAACACACACAGAAACGCGTCCGTGACACTTAGTACCGCTATGTTTGACCGTCGTTGGTAGTTGCTTCTATAACCTCGGGACCAATGCATCGAATTTAGAACCCTAGGTTCTTAGACTGCATCGCGTGTTTTAAGCTTGTCACTAGTTTCCTTTGAGAGAAAGAGGGACACTCATCGATGTTCAGGTAGGAAAGGATCGTTTCGCGAGTAATGGGTGATTGTGCTTCCTCGACAGGTGACGACAGCGACAGCGTCGGGAATGTGCGTGGCGGCAAAGCGACCTTGACGACACCACCAGCCAAGGATAAACGGAAGAACTTCTTCAAGAAGCCGGTAAACGATCTGGACCAGTCCGTTGTGTCGTGCTTAGTTTCACTTTGAGCTCTAGCGTAGTCCCGAGCTAGAAGCTCGGAGGGAAGGATATCCAAAAAAAGACTGGAATCTTTGTTTCAACATATTTATCGAAGTTTGCAGTTTCACATTCTAGTATCCATTAAAGGGTTATACCTATTCAAGAGATCGAAAAAACGATTTTTCAAGAATTTCTTTTGGAAAGACGTTTGCATTTATATTATTAAATTTGTTACATTGAGTTGCGTAGATCACTGCGTATATACTCATATTTTTTTTACAATAATATTAATTTGTCGAGATGCTATTACTGATTTTCGAGCGCATCTTCAAAAAAAGATGTTTTGCGGTGATCAAAATATCTGTAGATTGGGTTATCCAAAATCAAAGAACAATAAATAGTCAGTTAATATAAGGTACAACTTGTCTTTAATCGAAGGAATAAGCAAAATATTACGTTTGAACGAAATGACGGATTCTTAACTGAAAATTTTAGTCTTCGACTAAAAATCGATAATAAAATAAATAATATCGATCGAAACGAAAAGACCTTCGAATAAAGATTAAAAAACAAAGTTCTTGTGTAAAAATCCGAACCCGACAGTCTCAGACGTTCGCGAAATATTTTAACCATCAATTTAAAAACGTTGTTTTGAGAAAAACACTTTTAAAGTTTTAAATACAGATTACACCTGATAAAAAATTCTTAACAAAGATGCCTGTAACTTCGAGAATATTTTTCGGATTACCGTAACTCTTTTTCGTTTGGACATAGTTAAGACGTATGCATTTAACAAAAACGCAAAAGCTGGAAAATCGTTTTTTGTTTAAATTGTAACTAGGAAAGCCCCTTAAATTCCACACGAGGCGGTACACTTGTCTTAATGTTACTTACAATGTTGGAAACAGTTCTGGAACTCTTTAAGAAAAAATACCTGTACCATTTATGGCCTCTTCACTTTTCTTCATTGAGTTGTTTTCTTTGGAGCATGTAGGTGTATTATACATTTAATACTGATCACTTTTACTTGAACTAATAACACGAAAACTAACGAAAAGTTAATTTTCGAATGCATTCATACAAATGGACACTGTCTTAACAAAGTGACTGTTACGATACATTAACTAAATGTATAAGGCAGTTGGAGTAAGCATAGGTGTCTTAAAACCTTGTCAAATACTAAACGTAAATAAATAATAGGACTTTCACCGAAATTACCTCAGGACAGTATCGACTTATGAGTACTTAGAGTACGGTAATTGCAGTACGATTGAGAGCGTTGAAGACTTCCTGAACTGTTTCCAATAATGGAATACATGCTAGGACAAATGTATCAACTTAGACGGCACCTTGGAGGTAACCACGAAATTGTAAACACCGGAAAGCCCATTTAAAGAATACAATCCTGTTTATTTTTGGATACTTCCTAGTACATGTGCGTAAAGTTTCGTCCACATTGATCAAATTGTCCAACGAAAGTCTTTTTTCGTACAACGACACGCGCGGTGTTTTTCTTCACGTTGACCGGTTGGGGGTGGTTTAACATTTTTCGCGAATTTGCCAGAGATTCCGAGCTCGCGATGATGCTCGCGACGTGGTCGAGGCTTTCGAGTCTAAATTTATCTGTCGGTGCTAGAAAATATCATGGGCCACGCGAGGACTAGCGGATTTATTTCTGTAAGTATGCGACTGTATGCGTGCGACTGTAAACTCTGTGCATTGTGTATTTGTTGAAAAAGTACATCGAGCACTCAGCCACTCGTAACACTCTCTCGAAGAGAGTTTATGTAATAATATCGCGATGGCTTTCAGTGATTGTCACACCGAAAAGGGCCGTTTCTTTTCCTCTTGTTAACGAGGCGAAAAGTTGATTCTCTTCGAGTCTGCTGACTGCTTCATGAACGGAGTGGAGAATGAATGGCTTCGTTTTTCTTCCTTGTATATCAGTGTGTCGATGTGAGTAGAGTATTTCTAGCATCGATCGGTAACTGTTCAGGTATTGTGTGTTCTTGACGGATCATTTTTATATTAAGATTTTCGTGGTTGATACTAACTGAGGGTTCTTATACCATTAAAGTTTATAATAAATAACACCGAGGCATGAAACTCGATTCTATCAGAGACGGGTAAACCGTACACAATGACACGAGCACAGGTATCTTAACACTGGAACTACCAACGTTATAGTCATGCTTCTTATGCACGCTACTATATTTTTGGAAATAGAGAGTAGAGGGACGAGTCGATTAATCCATAGATCAGTTATCAGTAATCCAATAATTGTAGAAAGAAGTATAAGGTACACGGGTACAATTGTTCGACGGTAGTGCTAGACGGTAGTAAAAGCGGTTAAACGGTAGTAAAAGCTAGCTACAATGCTGACAAAATTAGAGTTACTTATCCAAAGGACACGGTTTATACCCAGAATCCTCGGTTAGTATCGATATTATTTATATTATTCGCTCGAAAAGCACCATTGGATGTGTCTTCCGCGGAAACGACACGAAAATGGTTCTCTGTTATCGGTAGAATAGCTTCGAAGAGATTAGTCGGTAGGAGGTCGTTGATAGCATAAGTCGATCGTAGTTACCAAAACATACTGCCTGGCCAAAGCGCCTTTGGAAGCGGAAGAGAATGCACGAAGCGATGCGATCGGGAAGGTCTTTGGCCGTGCAGGAGGGTAGGTCGCATGTATCGAGTCAACGTGGCCATTAACTGTTTTCAATGTTTTCAATGTTGCCTTCCGTCCTCACGAAGTCCGACGTAAGTGAGACTATCCTGGGGCTGATCCTGGCGAACGGGTCTCCTCTTAGATTGGTCAGACTGATTTGCCCGTCACTTTTTCCAGGAAACGACAACACCGTATGACGTCGTACCATCCATGAGGCCTGTCGTCTTGGTGGGTCCATCGCTGAAGGGTTACCAGGTCACAGATATGATGCAGAAGGCGTTGTTCGATTTCTTAAAGCATCGATTCGCGGGCAGGTGAGCGAAACTCTTTCGCGTAACGTCGCAAACCCGAAGAACACGCTGTCTAAAAACGACGACCCTTTCTCACGGTTTCAGAATAATCATCACCAGGGTAATGGCAGACATTTCGTTGGCGAAGACATCTGTGTTGAACAATCCAACGAAAAGAGCCCTCATGGAACGATCGACCAGCAGGAGCAGCTCTCTGGCGGAGGTTCAGGCAGAGATCGAAAGGATTTTCGAGCTTGCCAGGACTCTGCAGGTAATCGACCGATCACCATCGATCATGTTCACGTTTTCACCAGGAGTATCGATCCTAATCGTTCACTTTCCAGTTGGTGGTGCTCGACTGCGACACTATAAATCATCCGTCGCAGCTAGCGAAAACCAGCCTAGCGCCCACGATCGTCTACCTGAAGATCTCGTCGCCGAAAGTGCTCCAAAGGTTGATCAAAACGCGGGGAAAGTCACAGATCAAACACCTGAACGTACAAATGGTGGCAGCTGAGAAGCTGGCGCAGTGTCCGCCGGAAATGTTCGATGTGATCCTGGACGAAAATCAACTGGAAGAGGCTTGCGAGCACGTCGCCGAGTACCTGGAAGCTTATTGGAGGGCCACGCATCCTCCGGTGATCGCTACGGTGCCACGTCCCATTCCTGCGCCTGACGCACCTGTGGACGCGTTGACGCCGCGCGTCACATCAGGTATTCTGTTCATTCTGACGCGTCGGTCACGGCCGGACACTTTCGTCGATGATCGCGCAGCTGAATGTTTCGAAGTACAAATATTCTACGTGGGTTTCATTATCGCGGAGAATGAAGTCGCTGATGGAGAATAGGGTGGTTAGCTACGATAAACGTTCGAAACATGTTTTGCTCGCACGTCACGATGGTTCCAGTTTGTTGAAAAGTATTCCATGTGGAATTTCATCATGAGCGAAGTTTCATGTAAGTACATGTATTGTCTCTTTTCTTGAGGACAATGCGGGATCGTCAGATTTCATTAAACGGAGGCAACGAACTCTTCGATAGCTTAAGAGGGTATTATAATCTAGAGCAGGGGTTGACAAATTTTTTTTTAAAAGGTTTAAATCTAATGACAGAAAAAGAGGTTCTAAATTTGTTTGATAGGAAGAAATATTTTTACATAATACGTATGCACATATGCTAATACTTACAACAAAAATGAGTAAAATATTTCTATTTATTAATAAACGTATTATAGAGCTAATTTTTGTACTGATACGATGAATGTATAATATAATTGGTTTTTTTTTTGAGACAATATTTCATCATATCGGAGTTTGAAGTTGATACATCCTATCGTTAAAGTTATTTCTAAATGGTCATTTATTAATATTAATCTTTCCAATTAACTCATCTGTAAAAACTGTCTGCGGGTAGTTTACTAATCCTGGTCTAGAGCGCCAATTTTCTGGTATTCTTTTGGACTTCTTTTTAAATCTACAAAAAATTTTTTGTATAAAGTATTGCACACATATTTATTCATACTGTAGAAATATACAAAATTTATTTTTAACAAAAATGTTCTAAATTAAACGTAATACAAGTGATCTTGTAAAGCACTCTTTTAAAAATAGTATGTTCATGGTTGTCACTGTGTAGACCGTTTTGCTTATCAAAAAATCAAGAAATACCTTCAATAATATCAATATATCTATGGTCGATACCAGACTAATTAAAAAAAATTGATAATTAAAAAACTAGAAACATTACAAACCTTAAATATGAATTTTTTATGTTTTTTTTCATTTTGAGCATTCTTTTTCAAAATTGAAAAAGTAAATCTCATTATGTAATAATTGTCTGACTGGTAGTTGTTTCGAACACGAACTTCCCTCGATACTCTTTAATGGTGAAAATGAAAAGCATCGTTAGCTGGCAATTACTCATTTGTAATTAAATATTAATAAACAGTAATGAATTCTTGACTTTATGATGAACTAGTAGCCACGTATCTGTACGAAATTTGATATAATTCTGGTGACATTGAGCCATGTTAAAGCAATTTATATTTACAATGTAATTGAATTTTCGAGAAAGAAAAATCTTGTTCACCGATATGAAAACATGTGATTTAAAGAAAAACGCGTTTAAAGTATTGATGATGAATCACACATACACGTCTCCACGTTTCATGTTGAAGCTATAACTCCGTCATTTTCAGTTAGATCAACTTGTCTGGGAATATACTTATAATGTTGTAGTCCAAAAGAATACCCAAAAGTACCACTTTTTAAATTTATAAGAACCTCTCACTCCTTAAGAGAAAATTATTCCCCTACCACCATCCGTTTATAATCTCTGACGAAATAGATATCTTAACCTTCGGTTACCTTTACTACACGCTATACTACAGCTTCTAGAGTTACTGTAACTGAAAGTGAACTTTGCAAGAATTGGACCCATTCGGTGGATCGAGCAAAAAACAATTTCGCAACGAAAAGAAAAATAGGACTACTCTAACGAAGAACCTACACTGATCACGAAACTACCACAGCGGCCATGGTCCGATACGTTTGTCTTCGGTCAGGGTAGAGTATTTGTATTTGGAAAAGTCCTTCCGCGATCGGAATCGGACATTCAGGATTGCCGTCGGCAACGTTGTGTCTCAAATTAAATTTTACCAAGACAACGTAATTCGTAACGGGAGATTCAGAGCTGAGTTATCGTTTTCAGACGAATCGAACGCAGCCGCCTGGTAATCGCGCGCGAATGATCGTCGCGAACTACATTTGGCAGCGATCGAACAGAAACATTGGCTCTGGTGATCGTGAAACCACGTACCTACATCGTAATACATTTTATTTTTTTCGTCCGCGATTATCAGTCCACACAACCTCGATACGATCCTCTCCCCTCAGCTTGGCGCTGGATCGAGGTTTTCTAGCTCACTTGAAACTCTAACGAGCCCCAATTCCGTCAACTAACACTCGACACTTTCTTCTTGCCCCTTCAGGTGCCCATCATGAGAGTTACTACGGCCACGAGCCAAGAGGTAACCCAACCTTTTCCTCGAGCGCAACATTCTTACACATGTTCTTTCTAAGTTCACTCGTCGCGCAGCCTGTGTTCCGTTACTCGCTTGAACAATCGCTAAAATCTTCTTTCGTAACGAATCCTTTGCGAATATTTCGGAATGTTCACCTGTGACACGTACACACACATATCGGTACGCTATTTTGAGACATATCTCGAGTGTCGGCGACATTCGAAGCTAGTAATGAAACACGCCTGTAGTACTCCTTGTATCATTAGTTGCACGTAGTCGTTGCATGGATTCGTGTTAGACTTAGACAGTAGCGGCACTCCTATCGAGAAAGACTGCTAGTGGCTATGCAACCTATACACAGCCTTTAAATTATTATGATAAGTTCGACGTGCTGCACGCTATTCCTCGTGGGCACATCGCAGAAACATTCTACGGGGGCTGTTCGATACAAGAAGATAATAAATGATTTATTTTCAAACGTCATTTTACTCGGGGTGCATCATGATTGACTTTTTGGTTAGGGTGAACTAATAGCATTTCCGATTTCTCTTTCTTCTTTCTTCGTTATTTTTCAACGAAGCTTTAAATTTAACAATAGTATTTAAGTTTTATTTTATACGTATCATTTTGTAGCACTTGCATTGCTTTTTTATATCGTGTATTTATCACTTGCGTACTACTGATTCTATCGATTTAAAAAAGTCATAAAAAGAATTTAAATTCCTGCTTTCATATGTCCTGTATATATCTGCCTGTAAATTTGAAAAATCTAACGAGAATTCGATCTAACGAGACTTCATCGTTAAAAGTAAATCTTCGAAAATGTCTTTCGCTTTTATCCATCGAATCGGTATCTTTGCGAATCGAACAACTACCGTACTCTCTCCTTTGTAAATACTGCGTCCTGTTTCGCCACTATTCGGATCGTACGAATCCGAGTTGGTCGCGTTTTGCATGAGCTGGTAGATTGTAACTAGCAGTCTTCGAGTAATTGGCGAAATACGAGCGAGTTGAAACAGAACATCAAGAATAATTGTTCGTGAAAGACTCAAGAGAAGCACCCGCACCTTTTACATTGAATTTCTTTTCAGCGACAATGTACGGATCCGCAAACTTGTATCAGCCGCAGCGAGACAATGGCGTGCTTGCTCTCGTTAGTTTAAAACATCTTTCATCTTGTTTTCTTTGTTCATTCTCCTCTGTTCACGTTTTTTTTTTTATCTTTTCCGCGCTAAGATACGACCATCCCGTTCAACACTCTCTCCACGTTCACCTCATTTCTCAATTACCACCCGTTACACTTCATCTGCAGCTTACCTCGCGCACGCTGTCTACTATCACGACACGAGTGGATTTGCCCGACATCCGTTACCGTTAGTTCATCAGCGGTCGTTGTTTCAGGGTGCAGTGGTGTTCGACTAAACGAGAAATATCGGTGCAAGGGTTTCTCGACTAGTCGGAGTTGGTTGCGAATTAATTCTATGAATCGACTTTCTGTATAATGAACCGAAAGTAGCAACGCGTCTCGTATTCCAGACGCTCGGTCACCAAACTTCAAAGCGGTACCGCGACTAAAATCTTGTATGTTGCTCATTATGTATTTGTATGAGTATTCGTATCGAGTTGACAAAGTTTTCCTGATATTATAATATGTTCAGACACGCTCTCATTTTGATTATTTTGGATTAAACATGGTTGAAAGTTTTTCAGAAATGACTCGAAGAACGTATAATTAATTTAAATTTCATAGTTAACGGTTGCTAACCAAAGAAACCTAAACAGTGGTGGGAATGGTTCTTTTCCATTAATCTGGGGTAAAATTTTCTCATTTAATCGAACACTATTGCATATTTTCTATTTTGGATGATTCCTAAAAGAAACGGTTGCTGGACTCAGGATCGTTAATGACACCTCGATAATAAGTGCATATCGGAGATTGTATTTTACATCTAAAACGCGTTAATGGTCAACTGGTAGGATAAACCGAGACAAAGTAGGAGAAATGCACACTGGATAGCATCAGTTCGTCCCATTAAAAAATGGACACAATTTTGTGATAATAATAAGTAACGAATACAAATACTGTGCAGTGATTTACTCGTGATGTTTATTCATTTGAATAGTTAATTCTATAATTCGTATTCTTATTATTATTCACAGGTAACGAGTAAAATGTTGTTCATCTTTTATTCGTTTTCAACACTTTCATCTAGATAATAAAAATTGTGCCCATCTTTAGTTTCATTTGAGGGTCCATACGATTCGCTTCACGCTATCCCTTTTCATCCACGATGGGCTTCTAGTTTTCGCACACCTGTCATAATATTTAATTCGATATAACCTGGATGCAACTGAATGCAACTATTCTACATGAAACAAGTTGTACGAGGTGTGGCTACTAAATAACATTCCATTGTTCGAAACAGTGGTAAAAGTCTTCTTCTGTTAGCTCCTTCAGAACTTTTCTTCCACAGTTTCAACGGACTCAAATCTTATTTCTTCCAAAGCAGATTTTACCTTTAGGAAATAGATATCGATGTGATGAATCGTGGTTTTTCACTTATGATCCTGACACAAAATACTAATCCATGCACTGGAAAAACCCAGGTTCACCGAGGGCCAAAAAAGCTCGAATGAGCAAATAAAAATTCAAAGCAATGATGATTGTTTTCTGCGATATTCATGGAATTGTGTACTTTCATTGGATTCCTGAAGGTCAGACTATTAGTCAACATTACTACTCGTTCTTGCTGAACTCCGTAAAAGAATAAGGGAAGACATTAAAAAAAATATATTAGGAGGTTGCATTGAAAGCCGCTGTTTTTTCGTGTTTTTTGAGCATCTATTTCAATAGTAAAGTATATCAATCGAAAGCATCAATCGAAATATTTGCCCTTAAAAGCTACTACTTTTTCCCGCTTTTCTGACAAAAGTTGAATTCCGCGACGAAAGAACGGTTTATCTTTCGAGCTTATCCACTCAGCAAGCCAATTTCCAACTTCTTCGTAATTACGGAAATGTGTGTCTTCCAAACCATGTTGCATCGATCTGAACATATGATAATCACTTGGAGTCAGGTCTGGAGATTAGGCTGGGTGAGGGAGAATCTCCCATTCGAACTCCATCAGTGTTTCTTTTACAGTTCTAGCAACATAAGATTGAGCATTGTCGTATAGAAGGATCACTTTTCGATTTGATACAATTGATGGTCGTTTTTCTATCAAATTATCGTGTAAACGCTTCAATTGTTGACAATAACGTTCGGCGGTGACTGTTTCATGTGGTTTTAACAACTCATAAAATACGGCGGCTCTCATTGTCTACAGTATTCGCAGTAAAATCCACGTATCCATAAACAGGGGCTTTCAACGCAACCTCCTAATATACATACATGTATGTATACATGTCGAATTGAGTAACCTCCTCCTTTTTTAAAGTCGGTTAAAAAACGATCCGAATTGTAGAAGGGCAAGTCATGGTTTCTCCACCAAGACAATGCGCTGGCTTATTCCGCATTGTCTGTCAAGTGGTTTTAAGTACAGCATCCCAGTGTTAGACCATTCGCCTTGTTCGCCGCATCTTGCGCCGTGTGACTTCTATCCGTTTCCTAAGGTAAAATCCGCATTAAAAGAAACAGGATTTGAGTCCGTTGAATCTGTTAAAGAAAAAGCGACACGCATCGTGAAGGAGCTGACAGAAAGTTGGGTGTATATTGAAGGTGATAATAAGTAAATATGTATGAAATCAAAATAAAATATTTCACAGCCTCAGTCCCCTTATTTAATAGCCACACCTCGTATAAATAAATCCTTATAAAGTTCTTTGTATCTTAATGTATGTTATATGAAGTAAAGTATGCACTTCTCACGTGTATACAGTAGGTATACCGTATAATAGTATAGTACATTAGAATCACCCTGTTACAAAATTGCATATTAACATAGTCGACGCAAACAATTACAAAGTACATCGAGTCTTTGACGAAATTCTCCAAATTGTTCGCGCACCTACCAGTTGGGGATTGAACTCGTTAAATCCACACGTGTTCTCGTGCTATGCAGGACTAACTTCACAAGCTGTTGCTCGCCCGCAAACAAGACAAGTACCCCCGACAGGGACGTTTAATTTCCATCCAACGACCCGTCCCTTCGTCTCTCTCCATTCGTTCGTGACATATTCCATACGTTTCAAGTGTAACGAACACGATCAGGGAACTCAACGGGAAAGTATCTGACAGAAACAAAAAAACGGGAACAAAACGACAAACGCCAGGTCCACGTACGATCGGCGACGAGCTCTGACTCCGATGTTCTCTTTGTTTACGTGTAAAAGCCGTGGAGGCGGTGGCTGCCACGGGAGTCATCCGAAAACAGGGCCAATTCATCTATGGTCGGGGTGACGAGGGCAAGCCCAAAGAGTCGAGTTAAGAAAGCTCGCGCACGACGACGGTCGGCCTAGAACGACCGACCTCTTCCACTTCTTCCTCATCGCGGATGAGATTTTACGGCGTAGACCGGGTGAATTGTACAGTCGTCCTCCCCTGAACTCTTATTACGGGGATACGATTGAGAGAATTAGAGACTGTGTAATAGGGAAACCTCCTTTATGAGAGCGCGTAGTAAGTACAGACGGGTTTGGTGCATGGGCCCGGTGAACGGGACCTACCTGTTTCTCTTGCCCAAAGAGAAGGATTTATATGTTTCTGGTTAATTTTTTGCCCCCTCCCCCACTCTCCCACGAGACACCTTAAAACCTCCCACTCGTTTCACGTTCAACGCCAACCATCTGGAAAATCTTTTTGTTTCGTTGAAACTTCGTTTCTCGTTAAAACCCCTTGATGTTTCTTTCACAAGTTTTTACAATTTTTGTTGTTGGTTTTTTGTTGTTTTTTTTCTGTTTCGCTAGCCCTTCACCAACCCCTCTCACATAGAATAGGTTGATAGAGTAGCTTAACGTGTTAGAGATTAACGACGTGTGTGGTCGCGCAATTCGAGGGGATCGAAGTTACGTATCGAACCAGATAGTTCCCGCGTCTTTGAACAGGTTCGTTGCGATCTTACAGAGCTTTCGTTGATCCTTCTTTCGGGACATTGGCTTGTTTTTGTGCCCCTTAACCGCGGGTCCCACGTTTCGCTGACAATTTTTTCTTTTTTTCACGCGAAGCAAGCTCGCCCGTGAAAGATTTCTTGTCGGGTTTTTAACTCCACTATGTCGATCTCTGCGCTCCTGTGTAAAATGGTAGCTCGAACGTCGGAGTCTTTGCAAACGTGTCTCTTTTACATTCTTATTTTTTTTCATTTGTTTTTGCATAGCTAGCTTGCATGCACTGTGATTAGTGTGAGGTGTTTCAGTGTTTCTAGATGTTGACACATAGGTGGATTGATCACATCCTTACCGTTTAGCAGTGACAATTAACTGTAATCAGAGTAACATTGTCTTATAATATAGTTTTCGAGTGACACCAATGATGATTCGGTGGTTTTCAGGCTCAACGTTGTAAGCTTTCATGCAGATTACATGAATTCTATTTAAAAAAACATGTATACATGGATACTTACTTCGTCGAGTCTGAGCGACTAAAATTCGAAAGGAGCTTAATTCTTATAAAATTTCTGTCTATCAAATGTGTCAAAATACTGGCTGATATTACTCATTTAATTTTTCTAAACTATAAAAGAAAACATTACTTTTTATATTACTTTATATAATAAAGTATTAAAATGGAGTATATCAAATGTTATTTATAGAATTAAGTTCGCAAGGCATATCGTAATTTTATAAGAATTTACTAGGTCGAACAAAATTAGTTGACCGTTCAAGACTACGGAGGCTAGTTGACAACAGCTATCCAGCTATCCTCGCTACACTATAGCTCGTCTCTGCAAACACGATATTGTTGTTTCTTAAACACCAAAGCAAACTGACGTAGCCCAAAAATGAGTATCATGTCTGCCTTAATCACCAGCTACCAACTGATTTTCTTTTAACTATAGCATACGGAAAAATATTTAAACAGAACTTCGATACCTGGAGCAATAAAAGTCCTCTAATCCTTTCGAATTTTACAAAACTGAAACCACGCCTCAATTTCTGTAACTGAAATCGTATTCCTAACTCGAAACTTCGTAGGTATATGTAGTTACAGAAATTCAGGTCCGAAAATCGTACAAAATTAATCTCGAATTTCTTTGAAAATAAAACACTATTTATCCTTTACTAGACGAATAAAGTATTTAATATATTTCGTGAAATGTTTTCGACTCAGTTTCCTTCGAAACAGTTTCCTAGTAGACGAATAGACCTAGAAAATTGACTCCAATGTGGAATAAATAATTGTGCAAGTGGTTTTTAGGCAAATTTTCTACATAGTTTGCGTTATGGTTTCGTGTTTTTTAGTTGTACAACCACTTTTAAACAATTTATATTCCACGTGCAAGTAGATCGTTAAAAGCGTGACTCTTTTGTTGTAACTTCTTCAAACATTCTTGAAACTGTCCTGATCTTTTGTTCTCTTTTTACGTGATCTGTTTGTATTGAAGGAGACTGATAATTAAATCGAAACATTTGCACAAAATATATTAGACGATGTTTTATCTTCAAAGATATTTTCCCAAAGAAATCATGAAATTACAATTTCATTTTGATGAACTCTAGGATCGGGCTCGTACAGCGGTGGCCACGTGAGCGAAGGAACGAGAAGATCGAGACTCGAGCGGATGGATCGTGATCGAGGCGATCGCGGTGAACACGACTACGGCACCGAGGAGGAATCGTACGTCGGTGGCGTCGATTATGGCAACGCATCGAGGCGTCGCCAGCAGCAAGACCCGCGTGCATTGAACGCCATTTAGGAGCTGGGGCCCCGGGGCCTGTCGCTACAGCGCTGTCCCCACCTGCGCACCACTGCTCTTTAGTGGGGTCGCCTCCTGGTACGCTACTGAACGTACGAAGTGCTTATGCTACCTTAGCGAGATGTCGCTCTGGTCTCTGGTCTGTTAGTGGGGTTTCTTTCCTGTCGCTACCCGTAAGAAGATTGAATGGATCACATTACACTACCCCTGCGCAAGCTGTTACGCTAGATATCGCAAACACGATAGCGAATACGCTACCGAAGATCCAGACAATTTTGGTTCATTCATTTTCATGGTAGGTAGCGAATGCGCTACCGTACGCCATCAGAAGTTCTATAGAATCTTGCTTTCTTTCTTCAACTTTTTATCGTCAGTAGCGATTACGCTGCTGTACGTTTCCAGAAATTTTACAGAATTTTGTTTCTTTTTGTCGTTAGTAGCGAATACGCTTGCGTTAAGCTACCTACAATTCGACAAAAATTTGGTTCTTTCTCTTCTTTTCGTGATTGGTAGCGAATACGCTACCGCACAGTCCTAACGAAGGTTGTACGGAATTTTATTTTTTTTTGTCTTAGCAACGAATAATGCCAGCGTACGCTATCAACATTTTCACAAAGTTTAAATTCTTGTCCTACGATAGGTTACGGTAGCGTACTCGATATCGATATCGATTTGTTTGATCTGTCGAATGGCAGCGAATACGCTATCGTACGCTATCGAAGATTTTACAGAATTTTCTTTCATTTTCTTTTTGTCGCAGGTGTTGGGTCGTGTGCAGTTGTTATCGTAAACTGTGCTGCATTTTACGCCAGTGGTTTCGATAGTCATTGAAAGCGTGCACGCTAATCTATTTGATGTAAAGTTTCCGAATGTAGTTTCATAGTTGGGATAGCCGTTTGTTATTCGAAGTTTACGAACGGTTTTTCGGTAGGATTCGTCGAATCTGATTTGTTTATTTGTTACGAGATATTTTTGGAAAAATGTGAAATAAAAGTAATCCTTTTTCTTTGTATTTTTGGCTGTGTTGAAATTCGAAAAGACCGTGGTCAAGTTAATAATAACGATTTTCGCATTTTTCTTCTCGTAAATTTTATTATTTGTTTGTACATTACGAAGCTAGTAGTAACAAAGATGGATAGACACTACTCGTAACATAATCGCGTCTTGCACGTGCGTGCACGCTAAGTACGCTACCCATCAGACATTATTCAGTACGTATTTAATTTTCGATTACGATGTACGAGCTTTAAGGAAAGTAAGAGTAGCAAATTAGTGATTCCCTTTAAATAGCGTCGATATTTTTCCAAAGTAACGAGAATCATCGTACCACCTAACGATTCGTAGATCTATTCTATTTTCGTATCGTTTGGATTAGATCTAGTTCGTTTAGTGCGATCGTTTTGAATACTCGAGATAGTAACGTAGAATCCTTAACTTAGCAACGTTATCGTAATTCCAGTAATGGCTTCCTGTCCGATTCGTTTACAGAGTTTAAAGTATCGAGTATCGTCGTAACCAGAGAAACGGTAGCCACCGAGACTTTCACGAAAATTTTTTCCAACAGGAATTTCGCAAACGATGGGCGGTTTGAAAATCTGTCATTGAATGTCCTTGCGAAGCGGTACGCACAGGATAAACCCCCATTCGCGGAACCAGCTGAACGAGATGAATAGACACGAGATAATCACGTGAGAAACAAACAAAAGAAACACACTTTCGAAGGAGAGAGAGTGAATGAGGGAGAATTTGAGAGAGAAAAAGAGCCCTGGGGCCTTAATTTTTGCGCTGACTCCTCCTGGGCCCCAAATACCCACCCCCACGAGAAGCGTAAGAACCGTGTTAATATCTACTCCGGCGGGAGAAACTCGTGAATTGGCATCTGTCTTTCAGATACGGGATCCTTTCTCGAAATCAGGATAGATCAGGCTTGTTCGATTCGTTACCCGTCGGAGCACTTCTCTAGCAGCAGGAGCAGAGTCTTTGGGAAGGCACCGAGGGCAACGGTGCTCCACCAATGGCCACGAAGTGGTGAGAACACCCTCGACCATTCTCTTGGCTCTGCTCGCAAACACTCTTGCTCGCTATTGCTCGGTCGAACAGGCCTGGGATATACCGTCGTTCCACGCTGAGAAAAAAACGATGCATCGAGAGCAACCGAAGAAAAATAATAATAATAATAATAATAATAATAATAACGAAACTTTGACTCGAACTCGCGTAGAATTCTTTTCATTCGGCCGTGAGAATCAGCGATAGTTTTCTTTTGCTTCGACTTAGAGAACAAGAAAGAACGAAAAAGTGAGGAGGAAGTCGCCTCTAGTCGATATCTTAGAGAATCGATCGCATGATAAATTCTAGAGAAATTTCGTAGATAAAATGCTGCGTCGCGGCGAGTTATCGCGCGACCCCGTCGGATTCCCGCAAATTGTAAGGAAAACAAAAACTGAACGAAACGTGCGTGGCGATGGGTTGGGATCATAATTAATTAATTACCGCGGATGAATATTTGAAAGTTTTTTCGAATCGCAGACGAGGCGCCTGTGACGATCACCGCGCGAGTCTGACGTGTTTATACATTTTATTAGAGTCTATTCGAGGAAATTGGTACACGTACACACGGAGCCACCGAGCAGACGAATAAACACACACTTACACAATCACGGAAACATGTTGAATACTTTGTGTATATAGTATACATACATAATAATATACAATATATATTGTATACGTACATAACGCAGTGATACTTCCACCTCTATCACTCGACGAAACTAACTCCAATCGAGGTAAAAAGACAAATGAAAAATATTTAACAAAAAGATACTATTATAGATGATGGATCAATAGGTACTGTGTAAATATTGTAAGAAGCCTTTCGAAACGAGTAATTTCCGTTTTTCGATTGTCCCGAGCGCAGCGTCGCCAGGCTGCAGCGAGGATCACGTTTAATCCACTAAGAATATTTGTAAGACCGATGTCTCCTCCTGGTTTTTATTACATTGAACACTTTGCGTCCTCGATCGATGTGGACGCTTCTAATGCACCGCGGAACATGCTACGACAGTGAAATATTTATCAAATTAATACAGATGGACAGGATTGCCATTTTTTCGATGTTCAACGGCAGGCTCTAATTTTTCTTCTGTTCTTATGTTATTTTAATGAAGCTCTCAACAACTCCCATTTTTAAAGATTACGTCTATGTTCACAATTCAATTACAGTAAAAAGTGAAAAAATTATATAGTAAACAAAAGACATACACGCACATATTACACACATAAAGTATAAATGAAGTTTCGTATTATTCTAAACATTTCTGGATTCCTTTGGGTTTGATAAAATAATGAAAAGTTCTTTCGGATTGGAAATTAAAATTGTAGTCAATCTCGAAACACGAGAAGGTGGCAACCCTGTTGGGAACTCCAGTCGTGGCAGCCGATTAAACACGCAGATCGAATCCTGATCGCTCGCGTGGATTGATTTTTAGAAACGCAAGCACGCACGCATCGTCGTTGTTTCTTAAGTAGAACGAATTAATCACGGGCACGCCATTTGTCGCGATATAGGGTTGGCTCACTGTGCAAAGCCGACGTAGTTCAAAGACAGAGAAAAAAAGAGGGTATGGAAATGGATCTTGATTAATTTAGATGATGGCGAGGTCGCTTACGCACCATTAAAGTAGAACGATACGAACGAAGTCTTTCTTTCTCCGCGATTGCTGCATAACTTTCGGCATAATTTTCTATTGTTTAGAGCAATTTTGAAATTGCTGGCACTGGTTTTTTCTCGACCGAACAGAAAAATCTTGGTCTTCGATTCTTCCCTCGAATTTTCAGCGTGAAATTGAACGGTTTCGCTTCGTTCTAGTCGTCGTTCGACGTTGTTTACTTCGTTCTATAAATTTCTTCGCAAATACTGAAAGGTAACTTTTTTCAGAAATAGGCAAAACTTATCTTACAATTAGAGTCGAAGACGATTCGATTCACGCTCGACTCGTATTATTTGTTCGTTAGTTTGTGATTAGATAGGTATACTCGTAGGGTGCTCATATATTTTGTCACCTTAACCCTAGGAGGACTTCTGGGGTCTTGACTAACCCCAAACAATACTACTTTAAAATAACGTAATAGAGAAACAAATTTGAAATTAATTTTATATTCTTTCAAAATTTTACCTCCGCTCATCAGCTCAATTATTCATGCATATTATATAATATAATATTCCTCTATACATTCATTTACTATAGCATATACACTAATGTCTTTCGCAAATAACAGTATTTTCCTTCCACAAATATTACAGATTCACTCAACTTAAACTTTATAAAGTCAAAGTTCTAGGGTTAAAATGACATAGGGAACATTTTATTCCGTTTAGGCAATATTCCAATTTCTTGATACTTTTGTTCATGGCAATCGAATGTTTTAAAAATAGCATTATTCTTTTCATGATAAATACTAGAAATTCATTTGACTAAAGTCTGAAAAAGTCGAAGCTTCAGAGGGGTCCCAGATGACCCCAGAAGTCAAACTCGACCAAGTGGTCATCCTGGGGTCAAAGGTTAGGAAAATGTTAGTTCGATGATAGGTTCTCGACGCATTTCGAATTTTTCGCGCGCAAAAGCTTGGAACGAATTTTCTTAGCGCGGCGTGCCGCTGCCGACGTCGAAGGTTTCGCTCGTATCTTTTAGGAGAGATTTTTGTAACATAAAGAAAATGAAAAGGACGAGGAAGGTAACGACGGAGGATTGTGTCGTTCCGTGATCATTGATCGTCACGAATAGGAACGAGATTTGGCGATTCCTCGCGATCGAGCATCGCGAGGGACGACTTTAATCGGACGCGAGGACGTCCGTGGCAGCAGATCGCTGACTGTAAAATCCTTTTCGCAGCCAACGTTTGTAAATACTAGGTAAAAATATACTTGCAAACACGATCACTGGTGAAGTCCACTTAAAGATACTCACGCTTCCACTTCTTGTATGAGCGAGTTTTCAAGTTTGCAAGTTCTCGGCGTTCGTTTGTCACGCCCGGAAGGTTCGAGTGCGATTGGAAGAGAGTGTGCCGCCGATTGCTACAGTTTCTTTCGATCTTTGATTATTCTTGTCGGGTCGAGTGTACCCGCGCGAAGGAAACGACATGGTCGCCAGAGAGGGGCAACATTTTTACTCATCGTTATATACAAATTTTGAATAACGAATAAAAGACCAAATGGATAAAGTTTACGAATAAAATATAAGTGAAATTAATCGAATCAACTAATGTTATATGCAGTTGTTTAATACGTTGAACGCTGACCCGAATTTGCCATATACTTTCCGTTTAGGCGGCGTAGAGTTCTCAACGGATGCTTAGCTTTACAACATGTTCTGCTACATAAAGAGTAAACAGAAGATAACATGCTGAACGCGTTATCAGTATGTATCGGTGAAAGGGGAAAGCACAAAAAATTCGAAAACACTACTATGAATGTTATAATCAGACACAAAAACATTTAGGAAGTAAAGATACAACAAAAACTAGGAAAGTCCTGACTTGTTGTAACACATGTGCAAGTAAACCTCATTTCCGTTTAGAATATTTCAATAAATTGTATCAAAGAAGCGTGTAAACATATCTTTTTATATTGTATGAATTATTTATTTTTTAAATTTGATACCGACGCCTCCTAAACGGAAAGTTCAGCGTCGATCCCCAGGGATCGCCGTGATTTAACGTGTTAACTTTTCTTACAAATTATTAAGGTTAATCGATGGTCCGCAGTGTTGCTGAACAGATTTAATAAAGTTAAACAATTTTCTTGTATGGTTGATTATTTTATTCATTCGATTTCCATAGAAACAAACTAACTTCGCTACCAGCTCTAACGATAAAATGAAAACAACTCCTGATAAATTCTACAAAGATTTCAATTAAAATTATGCAATCGAATCATGTTTCTCTTCGGAGGAACAGAAGCAGACCTGAGTAAAATATTATTTCAAATAGTAAATAGTCTATTCTATTTTAAATAATGCGTGTGCAACTATGAAAACAAAATAGCGTATTTGTTGCAGTAAGTTTTTAAAATAGTATTTAAGAATAGTATTCTATTTGAAAGATACCGAAAGATCGTTGAACGAAGGAGTAACACGAGCGATGAAAATTTTGAGCGACGTACTTTGTTACATGCGAGTTAATCGTACTTGAACTAAAAATAAATTTACTTTGCCAAATGTTATGGTTTCTTGCGTTATAATATTATTTCTTTCCTCAACTTATTTTTATTGTCAAGAAATATTTGATATACAAACATCAAATGTTATGTTAAGATTCAAGTTATCAAAATAGATTTTATTTATCAAAGTTTCGTTGCCTATTAAAATATTACTTTATTTTAGCTCTATATATAGCATCTGCTACTTACGATACTATTTGAAATACTTTTCTCTTTACCCAGCTCTGAATAGAAGCATATCCGACTTAAAAAGAATAAATGTTACAAATAAATCTGTACAGACAGGTTTGATTCGTCATCTATTATTGGAATAAAATTTTGTTCGTCTACAAGCATAGCTTTTGAATGATACCTAATTTGTCTACTTGAAGGCAAGTGCTTAGAGCAATAGAGCTACTACAAGATACCTTCCTTACACTTTTAAATACATAGATCGATAGATGCAGAGTTTACATTCGTGATCTATTATTCAAACAAGATTCTGCTCGTCTCTGACGATCGCGAAGATCGTTCTGATCGTTGCGTCGTTTCCTCGCGAACAGCAACCGCGATTAACGTCGCGGGGCATAGGCCAAATGATTTTAATCGTAGCCGTACAACTTGTTTCCTAGACGGATTCGACGTATTTCAAGCGATCGATAGGAGAAGAAAGAGCTGATCTTAGCTAAATCCGGCGACGGAAATTTTTTACGATATTTTGTAAAAGTATCTCGCGTTAAGCTACGATAGACACTCACGTCACGCATACCCGTTGTACGAGTACGCACGGGCGTGTTACACACCGTCACACGAATACAGTACACGATTCCACAGAACAATTTTTCAGTCCTTGATATTTCCGTAGAAAACGATCTCGTAGACTACTTAGCCGATGAAACCGGCGAGAACTCGTTGGCTTGTAAGTACACTTCGGTTTTAGACGTTTAGCGGCTTTCGGTCCGTTCTTTCTTTCAGTGTATCGAGTAGCGTTCGAATTTGTAACGTCCAATAGCGCGCTGAATTTAAACAAACAAATTTAAAGGAAGAACAATCACGTGGCTTGAGTGGAAATTGGATCCGAAATTCGCGAAGTCTTCGTGAATGGGAAGATTTGGGACATGTTCGATCGGTTGAGCAACTTGTTCGAACGACGTCGACGTTTGGAAAATACAAGGACTGTTTGAGAAGTTCACTGTGTCGGATAGAAATAAATTGTCTTTACTTGTTATTTTTCAATATAATCTTCTTTCGGGTTAGTCAATCTAAACTTGGGCAAATTTTACTTAAAACAAAAATAGGAAACGATAGTCTAAAATTAACAAGTTTATTAGGACGTAACCGAAATATCGAATCATTTAAAGCGATTTTAAATATACTTCTTTTAGATTAACGAATTTAGGCTTGGGCAAACTTCACTCAAATTGAAAATAAGAAATAATAGTTTTACGTAAGAAGAATATCGTTTCGATTTTGTATTTCTCGCAAGTTTATTTGAAAATAACCGAAACGTCGATTCATTTGAAGCGATAGCTGTTTCGGATAGTGTTTGAAATAAGCTTTCGTATAGCAGTGTTATCGTTTGCACAACGAGTAAATATTTATTCGTCTATCTAAAAATTAATTCGTCATAATCATAATCATTTTCTTAACGAACAGAATGGAAGAAAAATTGAAAGTGCTGTGAATCAGTAACGTCAGAACGGAAGACGCGTTCGCGTGGATGCGAGGCTAAATCGCTGAAACTCGAATCGAGAACACGATCAAATTATCCGAAGACGAAACGAGAATCCATGGCAGAGATGGGCAAAATTCTTATCTAGATACAAATTTCGAATAACGAATGAAGGGTGAACATTTTATTCGTCACTGGTTAAGTAAATTTAATATTCGAGTAATGAAATGTGATATCTCACAATGGAGGCACGGAGGGATTGAGGATCGTAATAGTATAAGTAAGAATAAATTAAAAATTGATCTAGGCCATGATTTCACACACAAGAATAAGAAAGTTATCCAGAAATCATGGTGTAGCTCAACTTTGTATTTTTACTTTTGCTTACACTGTTACGATTCTCAGCTCTTTAAGTAAATATTTGATTGTTCATTCGAATAAACGCCGAGAACAATTTGTTATGTGTTTCATTCGATATCTGTTATTCGAATAAAGTTAGATATATATGAATATTTGAATGAAACTGAATAGTAGATGAATATACGAATAAAATCGAATAGTTAACGAATATTCTACTAAAACCTAATAATAGATGTCAAGAATAAGTGGCTATGCGTTTTATTCGTCATCTACAGATCGAATAAAATTTCGCCCATCTTTGATCCACACGAAGCTGAAAGAATGGAGACAAGAGGGAAAGTCGGAAGCGAGGGTGAACCTTTAAGGGCGTTCGAATAAGAGCGCGTGTTATTAATTGTACAGGGGGCGCGAATTTGATGTTAAATTAACTTGGGAGTTGATTCGTCGGCATGCACCGTGTGCACGTGAGAACGTTGTCGATTGGCTGCTTGCGGCGTCGCAGCGTGCGGTTCCGGTGCGATCGATCCGACGCCAGAGATGGGCAATGGACTCTCTAGATGAAAATTTCAAATAACGAATACGAAATAAACAGCATTTTATCCGTCACTCGTTAAATAAAAATTGGAATTCAAATCACAGAATCAAATTGTATTCGACGCGTTAACGAGTAAAGTATTTGTTCAAACGACAGAGTTCCAAATATTCAAGTCGCATAAATGGCGCACCGGAAGATATCATTACACGTTTTTTTTTTTATTCGTCTTTTATGGACTCTATTAGGATATTTCATGCATTTATGGCGAGTACGAATATGAAAAGTAGATGCAAAACGTGTGTAGAATATACGCACTTATGAAAAATAAAATGTTAGTATTGATATATTAATTTATGGAACAGGTGTATAGATATATTTTTTACAGTCGTTGATCAAATGATTAGAGCCACAAGAACAAATAAAGATGATACTGGTTTAAGGATGAAATGCCTTGTTAGATAAAATATCTCTAATATTCTTAAGTTGATTATATATACCTAACAATTATTCACTACTATACGTTAGACGGATATTTTTCATTGTTTCTTAAGTTTTTAAAAAATATGTTTTATCTTCGGATGCCACTAATAATTTTATCAACGACTGTGCATGTTTTCCATGTTTGTACACGCTATAAATGCAAAAAATTCACAGGTCGGTCGTATAATATTGGGATCAAATTTTGCCCATCTCTGTCCGACGCCCTCCTTTGAGCATAACCCCGTATGGTTGAAAGGTCCAAAACGAGAACGAAGCATCGGCGAACGGAAATCGTCGGTTCGCGAGTCGTTCATTCGAAAATAGAACGTCGATGCGGACCGTCTCTGTACGCTTAGAAGATATCGCGAAACGCCTGTCCTTGTATCGAGCCTTAAGGCTTTCGCAATAATATTGTTGGCCGCGGTATAATGTGGTATCAAAGGTATAGGTGTATAGGGAAGAGTGGAGTCACGCGACGCCAGAATTGCGCGGATGCCACTGTTTGTTTGATCCTGATTCGCTACGTCTCATTCGTAGATCTAGACCAGGGATGGTTCAAATGGATTTAAAAAATGATTCAAGCTACGAATACCTTATCCGTTTAGATTCTATTTCGAATCAACTTTTTAACTTCTTAAAAAGAAAGTAATAATATTGTTTGAGTAATAATATTGTTCTAGACGCTCAAAGCAAAGAAAACACCAAGTACGTCAAGTATTTGTGTACAATTCTGTAAGATGATTCACATCTTACTCTTTTAATACCGCAAGATATTATATGATAGGATGTTTATCACTTGCTCTAAGCCAAATTGTTGGTTAGTTTATCATAAATATTGGACAGAAGATTCAATTAATTTGTACTTCATATAGTTTTTAATATTCCTACATTAATTCATGATTGCGAACTATCAGTGAGTGCAACAAAATCACAAATCTTTTTTAAACTGTCCTGTGAGTAGGATAAAAACAGCTGTTCTAAAATAGTTCCCTGGCCTGGACGCGAGGAGATATACTTTCTTGTTCAAATCACAGTAACAAGTAGTGATAGTCATAGTACGAGGGCAACTGTTAAAAGTAAAAAAAATATGTTACATATTGAAAGCACTATTAGAATAAAATTTGTACCATCTTTGTCCAAATTAACGATTTATGAAGAATCGGACCCGATTATCTCTGAAATATTAGAAAATACCGATTCATGATTACAGATTATATATGTAGTTTATAATTGTTGATTAATCTGACAATTGTGAGCGATTATCGCCGAAGTCATCGCAAAAAATTACTGCCCAACTCTGACGCCGCGTCCTCATCAATTTTCTTTTGCGGCTGGTTCGGTGGATCAAAATGTTTCCGCCTGTGTATATTGTCTATTGCCAGGGATCGGCAAAATTCTTCTAAATAAAAATTTCGTGTAACGAATAAAAGATAAACAACTATTTATCCGTTACTCGCTAAATAAAAATTAAAATTAAAAAGTGACATATTTCGCAAATAAAAGTTCCGCCGTTCGATGGAATAAACGTCACGATTATATTGTCAAACGTCTTATTCGTTACCTTTTGTTCGAATAAAATTTTGCCCATCTCTGTCTATTATTCCCTCGTATGATTGGCCTCGATCGTGGAAAAAGTAGGAAAAGAATGGAAGAGGACACGAGCCAAGAAGAAGATCCGCGATCGAGGGGCTGTCTCGAGCGAATTTTATTTCATTGTCGTTGCACTTCAGGAGACTCGACTGAGCTTGTGCGAGTGAAAAACAGAGAGTATGAGAAAATGTTGAGAAAATAGAACGTCACGGGAAAGTTGCGTCGGTCGCATCGCTATTATTCGAATTAAACGGTTTATCTAATTGTAAAGAGTGCTATGATTGAGTGAAGAAAAAGATACGAGTGTGAGTGTATGTGTATAAAAGAGAGAGAGAGAGAGAGAGAGAGAGAGAGAGAGAGAGAGAGAAAATGTGGGATCTATGCTAGCGAACAAGGGAAACAGAACAAGAAATTGCGATTCGTGGTTCAGTGTGTGCAAAATGCGGTTATTCGGAGATGGAATTGAGGCGATTAATTAACGAGATGTTGTAAATTGTTCTATAGCAAAAATGAAAAGTGCTACGGACGCGGCAGCGCGCCCCCTGAGAGTTCTTCGACGACCTGTGATCCACGATTCCAGAAGATTCTCGTTTCCGTCGAGAAAAATGGATTAACTTCGATAGGATCGACTTTGTATCGTCGTCGATGACTCTCGAAGGGGCGCGATGCTCTGATCGTTTCAATGTTGATATGTCAATGCTGTGATGTTATCCTTTGAAACTTAAAAAGAAAAAAGTATATCCCCCCAAGAAAACCTCCATCCCTCCCACCCTTGGACACGAACCCCCATTCCCCTTTTTCCTGAACAAAAAAAAAAAAATGAAAACAAGTGTCCCGCGAGACGAAACCCCCTTTCTCCTTGGAAAATGAATATTTCTATTACTGTAACACTCCGCATAGCCCTTAAAAAAATAGCTAGATTCTAATCGTATTTAATGTAAAGTTTATTATTGTTACATCTCAGTGATTCTCTCCTCAATCAGTGATCTCACGGAGAGAACGACGCGCCGTCGAGACGTTTCACGTGCGAACGCTGAAACAAAGGCTTTGGGAAGAGCGAGAATGATGATTAATCGAAACCTGAAAGTAAAGCGACCGATAATCGATCAACCGTTACCGTTCGGTTCTCTCCGGTACGTCACTGGTGCCCAAAATTCCTACATTTGTCGCATTTGTAAATAAAATTTTTATCATCACACGACGTGCGCGTTATTACTTCAATTCCATTAAAATGTCGACTTACATTATTTTCCAATTTCATTTCTTGAATATTTTAGATTCGTTGGTACAATTTGAAATTGTTAACTACGTAGTTTTATTTTTTAGTGTTAACAATGAAGTATACCGAATCGACTTTGATGTGAGGCATGAGAATCATGTAAAGTATAAGGCTCTTTTAGTATCAACGATCTGTCTGATTTAAATGAAGTGAAGGATAATAATTTTACAGTGTAAAATAGATATTATTCATTTACGTTTTGACTCATTGTTCTAGAGTCGCCATAAATATATAAATGTTATACTCATACTGCAGATTTTATGCACATATTATTTACGATAATATAGAAAATATACATAAAATATATTATTATTAATATCATCAATTATTATTATTATAAAATTTAGATTAGATATTTTCTATATTATCGTAAATAACATGTGCATAAAATCTGCAGTATGAGTATAACATTTATATATTTATGGCGATATATTTTTCAATTATTATAATAATATTGTCATTTCATTTTCCATAAATGCACATACCTTTTGATTATATTTAGCATGTATTTATTATACTAGTTCATATCATAAAAAATACATGAAGTCCGCAGTCTAATTAAAATTAAATTTTCTAAATTGGCCCATAAAAAGAATTCGGTAAATCTCTTTTTATATTAACATACAAAAGTTTACTAAAATAAAATAATAATTCTGCATACAACATAGGAAATATAATACTGAAAATATTTGTTTCATCCCGCAAATATTTAATGTTATCATTTTTACCTAGGTTAAGATTTATAATACCAATGAATTAGGCTTTAGTTAATATAATTATTGAAAAGATATTACTGTGTGATAAGTATATAGTTTAATACTTAGGTTAACACAAGTTGAACATCGACCAATTTACCAATCATACAACAATGGATATTAAATGAATTCGTGGACGATGCAAGAAATATTCCCAGTATTGTATTAGGCGTATAAATTAATTCTGTGTCTCTATATTGAACCATTAATAATTCTAGTTTCAACAGACATATTTCTCATCATATTAGTACATTCAAGTGATTAAAAGTCCTCAACCTGATCTCTATTCGAAGTCTCAACCTGATGATCAATTCATCTATCATCATCATTACATCTATTCATCATCGTTACAATTCATCTGTACGAACTTTAGTAGCCACATAACTTTACTTATTGTTTTATTGTTGCTAATTTATTATGATTCAAATGCAAATCAAATCGGGAACTTAAAATAGAGTACTTGAACGTAACAAAATGACGAATAAATATAACTGCTGAAACTAGTGTTATGAATGAATGAATATAGGGACAGTATTAATTTCTACACCTAATACAATCAGTTTGTTTTTCGTTGCGGGAGATGGCGGTTAAGGGTAGAAAAGAATTGACCGATTTCGGACAGGTGAAACGATACTTTCTTCTGTGAATTACAAACGACGATACAAAAGTATATTTACATTCTAAGTGGTTGTGTCGCGTTAGAATAATACAAGGTTCATTGTACTCGTTACATTTGCTGGAATAAGTCACGGCGATCTCGTGACGGTATTCGTCTAGTCTACATTGCAGTATAGAAATCGAAATTAGAACTCGAAACGTTACTGACCACCTCGTTTTTCTCGGCTCGGTTGAATCTACAGGTTTCATATACATATCGTACCGATTCTTTGGCAATGGATTCAACGTTCACCTTAATAAAGGGCGAGGAACGCGGAAAACGCTCGAGCATTTATGTACAATAAAGTATAGAAAAATATAACGTTTTATAAATGCCAGCGAAAACAGGAAAACTGGTTAATTTCGAATAAGGCAAAAGGAACGAAACGTGGCATAAAGAATCGTTAATATTTGCATCCGCAACTGACCACACGGTAATTGCCAAAGTTATTCAAATACTCGTCACTCATTGGATTCTATTTACACGAATATATTCGAATCCCGCTTAATCCGATTGCACGAAATTACACGAGACTTACATACAGTATTCTGATAATAACTTAATATTCCAGGCTATCTTATCTTAAACGCTTTACAGATATTATAAATAAATAATAGAAGCCGTGTCTCGCGGTGTATTTCGAGTAAATGCACCTCTGGGAGCATAAATACAGACTTTCAATCCTACGGGACTGCTGTGAACTATGTTTATTCTTGTATTAAAAATGTATAAAATTTTAAGAATATTGATATTTCTTTTAATCGTTTCTTCTAGATTTAATTTGAGGAATCGATATCGATTAAATATTTTTCCACTTGCGTTCGAACGAATCCCGAAGAATTAACGCCATTAATCAAAAATAAAACCACCTCTGATTATATCTCGATTTTCTTAAAATACCTCTCTAATATAAAACATTTACACGTATACGGCTGGATACATTAGATATCTAAACTTTCATACGTCTACCTTTGGTACAATTTCTCTCGCTATTGACTATAATCTTAAATTCTCTTTGTTCCTCCTTACCGACGCGACATAATTGAAGCACTAACCCGTCTTCCTCTAATACCTCTCAAACTAATTTTTTCATACCGATGTTCTGTTTGCAGGGTCTCGACAAAACCACGTGACTACGAGAGTATCACATTGATTCCATACAAAGTGATTCGAAACACACAAAAATTTGACAAATAGTTGATAAATCGACGGGATAGCTATTTAACATATTACATTACCGGGATTACAAAATTTGTCATTTTAGTTTTCCTTTTCAAGGTCGACTCTTGTATAAACATTGGTACCAACGCATTAGGCTATAGTTACGTCGTGTACGTAGATTTCCATGTTCTTCGAATACCTTAATCTATTGTTCTTCTATACAAAATTAATAATTTTAAATTGTTTTAGTTCCTCTGAAAAATACTCGTCATACTCTCTGATGGTTTTAGCAATAAACAACGATCGATAATGAAGTTTCGTTGCTTCGAGATTATCACATAATTTACAACTTATAAATAGAAAAACGTAGAAAAACAATTACCAAGTTAATTCTCTTGTACCTGCACTTATTCAGGTCATTCACCCTGTCATTTTAGTCTCATCGCAGTCACGTGGTTTCGTTTACACCAAATTCATCAGTGACAGTTTCCTCAAACGTCTGAACTGCCTTTGCAATAAATAATACCAAACTTCGGGAGCTAATCGCGACAGAAGCATTTTCTCGGATTTCGTCGAAAGTCTCTGTTCAGCTTCTCGCCAACTTCTGGCAGTGGAGCCGCCACTTGACGCCGATCAAATACTGCTCAGCGCACTGAAACTATAGTGCAGCTAACGTCTGTGTATCAGAGTTTGGGCAAAATGTTTGTCCAGTCGAAAGTTTCGAATAACGAATAAAAGATAAACGACATTTCATCCATTACATATTAAATAAAATTTAGACTTTAAATTACATAACGAAATTACATTTCACGTTGAACGCGTAAACGCAGCATAACTACTCATCAAATAAACGAAAAAACCTCCAGAATAAATCTATATAATTGGACAGTGTTCGCTCGTATTCGTCACGTATTATTCGAATAAAATTTTGCCCATCTCTGCTGTCTACCTCGGACATCTCAACATCCACATGGGACAGACTTCGGGGGTTTGCGTCGAGTGGCATTCGCTTGTTTCAAGTTAGTGCTGGGTGCAGCCAAAAACCCAAACTTTTATATGAATAGATAATTCTCGTAGTCCGCGTAAGAGGACGCTGTGACGTGTTTGGATGTGATTGGGGTCGACGGGACACTCTGAGGCAAGTTCTGCACCCGCGGGACTTGAAGTTGGGGCAGCTGCGTTGCATGGGGTACGACGATCCTTGGCTGTTGGTTCAGGGAGCCCAACGACAAATGGTGTTGGTCCACCTTGTGAATGTTGTTGTTGTTGATCGACGTGTGGTCTTTCGGCTGGTACAGCAACAAATGATTGTTGTTGTCGTGCGTCTGGTGGTAATGGGCCTGATGGTTGCCGCGAAGGTTCAGTCTTGACATCGCCATGCTGATGCTCGAGTCTGACGCCCACATGCTCTGCGAACACGACGATTGTGTAACGAATTTGACTTTCTATTATATTCTTATGAATAATGCTCAACGACGGTAGACGCACGGGATGCGCTCGTGTACGCTGCGTAATTACGTTCGACCATGTTGGAGCGCATCCGAGGAAAAGAATGCCTTTGTTTGAGGCGTGAGAGCTTGTTCAGAAATCGTTTACCTCCTTGTTAATCATTGCTCGCGCAGACAACTCGTTTTTGTATTCTAATGAAGATTTCATTTCGCGATATCGACAAGTTTTGAATTGCAGGAGAGTTCGAACTGTAAACTGTAAGGCTGTTCGCTTGTTACATCTCAACGACGGAGGTAGATAAAACTCTTGTTTAGATACAATTTTCAAATAACGAATAGAAGTTAAGCAATGACTACAATCAATTTTAATGTATTTGTATTTGCTCGTGCCACTAGTATTCACAAAATATAAAGTTGAAATGGGTTTCAATGAGCATAAAAAATGGCGCCTCGCCCAAGATCCGCCACAAAACTCTTTATAATAAGTACAACTATTGGACTCCTCGGAGCAATGTACTGGTACCACATAATTGCATTCAAAGTAACTGTATTCATACTGTATAATATTATTATAATTGCTCTGGAAAGTGCAATAATGATAATTTTATCTTTGACAACTTTATCAATTGGTACCTAACAAAGTAAATGAAAATTGAATTTTTATTGAAAATAAACAACTCCTGGTGCATTAGTTGCACAATAAAAATTGCAATCAAATTGTATTCCACGTGGAACGAATAAGAGATTATCTAAATAACCTTTCGATGGAATGAACGTTGCGCATAAATCACTGTACAGAGCGTTATTCGTCATCTATACGTCATAAAAATTTCTGCTCCTCCTTGCGTAGCGATTGTGGCGTCTTTCACGTTACGGTAGAGGCGGACTTACTTTTCTTCTGTACGGATTGTAGTCAGGATTGCGCCTTATGCGAAGATGGCGATCCGCGCTTGTCCACCGTTGCGTGACCTTAAGGGGTGAGTCGTCAGGATGCAATTTCCTTTGGTACTCCTCGCCTTCGCAGACCTCGTAGAGAGAGAACTGCTCAACACGTTCCTTGGAGCTGTAGCAACTCAACAACATCTGGATGAGCTCGTCTACGGTGGTCTGCTCGGAGACCAACAGGCTCTTGTACTTGGACTGTAAACCATAAAACGATAATCGTAATCACGTTCCTGAGAGTCTCGCTGAGAGACGGTCCTGATGTTAGTATCCATACTCTACAGATAAACTATGTCATGTCTAAATTTTGGAAATTTAATATTTTAGCTCTTGCTTTGGAGTAAAAATACGAGAAACGGAATTAAGATGCGAATTGATTAATTGCTCGTAATCAGGAGTAAGTGCAGAAATAGTTTAGTAAGACAGACTCGTACTTCAGAGGCAAATCATGTCATGTGTGTGAAATTTAATTCATGCTTTGGAGTAAAAGTACGAGAAAAGGTATGAATGGATTGATTACGCATAATCAGCAGTAATAGTATAGTTGGATTAACTCATGAAGATAGAGTAGAAAAGAAGAATATAAAATGAAGTGAAGCAGAGTACAGTAACTGGAGTAACTAGAGAAATCAAACTTCCATTGGAGATTGAATACAATTTTGTAGTAGATTGGCAGATCAATATTTTGATTGAAATATTTGGATGAGACTTAGCATGTAACTTACCCCGGACATGAGCGCGCTGTCGTATATTTTGACAAGTCCGCCGCGGCGTGTCTGCAATGAGAATCTGCAACAAGAAAACATCCGTGAATCCTGGTTATCGTAAAAGCCGGCGAGATCAAAAGGAATCGACGAACACTACTTCCACGTAAAAACACCGGGGTTCGAGCTTCTAGTCAAACAGCGACTGTCTACGTAACGTATACCTTCACCGGAAGTTTCGAGCTACCGAGAAAACATAGCTGACTTCCAGTCTTTCGTGTTTCGAGAGACAGAAGCTTCGACACTACCAATCCTAACATTTATTCACCATACATTCCCCCATTCCTACGTGTCTCCGTGTACGGCATACAGTTCAATATTTTTAAATAAGAGACGAATTCATAATTGTTGTTCAATCAAATTCTGAGCAATATGTGTGTGTGTATAATTGTTTAGAACTATAATTTAGGAATGGAAACATTAATTCGAAGAAATGTATGGTACATATATTAGAGATGGTACAAGGAAGCATAGTGCTATAATTGTTGGAGATCGATGATCGATGTTCACGTTATCAAGGATAGCGCGACAGAGAATTTATAATAAAGTGGATAACTTAAATATTTCTTTCGATTAATAGCTTAATGTTTTTGTTTATGCGATAGTTAAGAATACTTAGTGATACAATAAAGATGTACTTTAACTAATGTTAATATGCACACGGTTCGTAAATTTTCTAGATTAGTTTTGAATCATTGATACGATGTGATAATATGACATGGCACGGACATTACGTCTCAAGCATTACTCAACATCTAATAACGTAAGCACTCGCTAGTGAAACTTTGTGTCAAGAAAAATGCATTAGATTTTTAGAAACCATCGTAAAATTAATTTGCAACACATGTTGTTTGGCTCATTTAATAAATATTTTAAATGAAAATTTTAACTGAAGAAAATTATATTATTCAAATATAATATTAAATATACCAATTATCTCATTTAATTTGATTGCATCATTAGCGCATACATGCGCGCGTTGCGCACTTCTAAAAATCTTTCAAAGGTTATCATTAAGAAAAAACTATACTTTATCATTGTAACTGCCATGTTGCTTTATACGTTGACTATTTCAAATCTTATCATGTTGTCGTTATTTCTTTTATTATTATTATTAATGTAGAATGAACTAACAAAAAATAAATTCTTTTGATTTTTTATATGTTTTGAAACATGTTTAGTTAAATTCAATCAAGAAAAATGTTGGCAATAGAGACAAATTTTCCACTTCTTCGTGTGCAAATAGCTAAATAAAGATTTCCATTTCAAAATTCTAGTTCATCAGAGTAAAAGGAGAAAAAATAAAATCTCGATCGTCCGCTAGACTAGTGTTTCTCAACGTGGGGTCCACGTCTCACAGGGGGGCAATTCGAATGTTAAGGAGGACAATTTGAAAATGTACTGGATATAACTAAACGGGGAGACTCGAGACTGAAGTTAATTAAATTCTTTGGAACGAGCACCAAGCGCAAGGATCTCACTAAATTTAAATAATAAATAATTACTAATAATTAAAATAATATAGAAAGGTCTTTCATCAAAATTATTTTGTACTTGAATTTCAGTTCTCCATTACATGTTTTGAAAATTTAGTTAGTGTGTTTGCACAATAATTTCCTAGTGATTTCTTCCTAAAACGTATCCTTCAAGTTTCTTCACTGAACATTTCCATTTTTAAATATTCAAATTTATATCGACGGAGGGGGGATAAGCATTTCAAAAAAGCTTAGGTGGGGCATAACACAAAAAAGGTTGGGTAACACTGGTCTAGACCATAAACGATAACAGCAATTCTGTCCCTGGAAGACCGAACAAATCTTCGATTTATTTCCTCGCGCTGTATTCGTTCGAGGTAAAAATCTCGAACCGTAAGCGGGTCAACGAGTCCCTCAGTTGGCATAAATAAATGCACGTCTCGCGTGGTCGAACCAGACAACTTGAACCCCAAGAACAAAGGGAATCCACTCGAAAGGACGTTGCTCGTCGTTGGCTCGTGCTCACCGACCCACAAGAAGTCGCGTTTACGGTCGGTCGCGAACCCTGAAATTACGTCACGAAGCCGACCGAAACCGAAGAGGGGGGCAAGCGAAGAAGTACGCGCGGGAGGAGCTCGGAATCGTACCTGGAATCGCCGCGAGGATGACACGATTGCAAAACGGCAGGCCTCGCGTCCTCGTCGAGGGGCAGGACGGTCCTCACGTTGGGTCTTCTCACAGTGACCTCCATGGTTAGGTAGAACAGCCTCGGGTCACGGTGCCTCATCCGATACTTGTTCAATAGGTTCTGTACGACCTCGCGGCAGGTCGTCTGGTAGGTAATACCGAGGGTCTTGTACTCGATGTCCGGCCGCAGGCAGTTCGCGTACACCTTTATGGTCGTCTGCAACCAAGATCGAAAGCTGTCGTTAGGGTGGGTATGTTAACTAGAGTTAGAACTTATCGCACGATCGAACAGAGCCATCAAACTGCCATGAGGCCGTTTTAACGTGGATCGTAGCCAATCTTCCGTCTAGTCTTATCCACAATCGGGATAATCGCGATATAAGGCTTGTCTATCACTTCCTAATAGCGGTTCGAGCCGACGCTGTCTGTCGTTCGGAATAGAGGTTCTCAACGGAGACTCTCGATGGGCCACGAAAAATATTGTCGAAATGTTTGAGTAGTACTAAATAAATGATTGCTGCGATAGCACAAGATTTCTATCTACAATGAAACTTGTTTTATCCAAGAAAGTCGGAGGATGAAGCAACACAGATAACCAAGTAGTAAGGATAATTATAGTTCACCAGCTATCCTGTCCAACTCTTCCTATCAGTACGGATAATAAAGATCTGTATTCGGAAATCCGAGGTCGAGCATATTTGTGCAATTTGTCTAACAAGTAAAGTTTACTAACCCGAAAGTTACGATTTTTTGAAAACTGCATTTAATAAATGGGTAGTATATATTTTATGAATTACAAACGATTAATATATTGCTCAGAAAGACTAAATATCGATAACAACACCGTCGATGCAGAACATGTTTATCATAAGAAGTGCGACTAAGGAAAATTACCAAACAACAGCGAGCATATAAGAGGAGGATCACTTAGAGAATCAAAGAGTCATCCGCAATCACTTTGAAGCAGTCGATCTTCAGTTAGTCTCAGCCAGTTCAACAATGGAGTCATCATAATCTACATCAAGACATCCACTGTCAGCGACGACATAATAACTTGTCTACTTGCATCATTTAAGTTCAGTTGTAGTAAATATATATATATATTTTTTAATTTTATTTTCAATTTCATTTTCGACGTTGATGACAATGTGCATACACAATACGTCGTAAAAATAGTCAGCCTATCGTATATCCAGCAACGGAACACAATTCACCCTAGCAGGGGTCTACTAGGCCCTCGTGTGCTTATTCGAGGGTTAAATGCCATTCATTGGCAGTTCGTTGTTTTAGAGCGAACGGGGTAGGTTTGAAAAGTGTAGGAGTTCCAGGAAAGGATACGTCCCGCCGTATGGATCTATGCCACGGGAGAAAAAGGAGAGGAAGGAAGACGGCGTCCTGTTGTCGGAGGAAGGGCAATAAAAAAAATGTACGGTAAAGACTAGGAGACGCGACAAGAGGTTTTGACAATTAGTCCATAATTAACTCGGGGACAGACGTTGGCCACGCGCGGCGCATAAAACGCTATCAACCCTTCAGATACGCCGGCTACGAGGGGATGCGTGCACCGAAAATAAACCAGACACCAGATCACCCCGTTCGCAGATGCGTACGTCATATGAGTACACACGCGTCTGTATATTCATGTGTCAAGATTAATGCTGCGTTTGCGCAGGCGGTTCTCTATAAAATTAAATATAGATTTGTCACGTGAAAATTAATTTTAACCATCAATTAGTATTCACAACTCGTTGTCAGTGTAATTTTAGCGAAATGTAGACGAATATATACAGGGTGTTTCGTTTAAAGCGGACTGATTGAATATTTCATGAGAAAATGAAGCTACCAACAAAATCTTTTTACAAGAGTTATTTAGCGCTAATGGGAACATTACGTGAACTAACGTTAGACGTTCAAGCAAGTTTAATAAAATCGATATAAATAAAATAAAATAAATATTTAAATAAAATTTTTTAATTTAAATAAAATAAAATAGATTTACATCCTAAGTTTACACTTCGACTCTGACCTTTACTCTTCAACTTATCTGTGCTGACTGCCTGATATGCTATATCGTATCGTATACGTATGCTACACGTATCGTTTTAATTATATGGAGTAAATAATTTTTTGTAAGTGAAGTTGTGGGAGAGATAAAGTTAATAAAATAAACAAAATTAATTTTTTTAAATGGAACCTTAATAAGATAACTTTTGCTTAGACTAATTTATCGTTTTGTAGTTCTAGTTGCCACCTATTAGGCTGCGAACAAGGATTAAAGAAGAAAAGGAGATGTTCTATCTTTATTCGTAGCTTAATCGATTTACCTTTAGGGTATATTTCGATCCATTATGTACTTAACTTTCCATTTTGTATATCAATCTTCTTAGCTTCACCAATCGGTGACTCACGACTACCAGAACTCCGAGAGTGAGACTAAAACTGAAATAGCTAATTGTAAGCATTCGAAGCCTAACCTGTCGATAAGCCAGATGTTGCGAGTCGAAGATTTGTAATTGGCCGACGCTTTTGCGAGTATTGCCACTCCAGCCTTCCGAAAACACGTGCAGACTGATTTTACGACTGCAAGCTGCACTTTATTTACATCTGTAACGACCTATCTTGGACACAGCAAACTGCGTTACACGTGGCCGAAAGAGTCTTGTACGTGTCCGTGCAAAGATTTTCAGGGTGTAACTTGGTTGGTGAAACTAGGTCCATCTCTTTCGGATTTTCGCTAAGCTGCAGTCGTTCCGAACGAGCACGTTTCAATGAGAATACCAGGATTAACCTTCCAGTGCGTGTCGTTTATAGCGTCAATACGTTCCTTTTGTATTACAAACCCTTGAATCGCGGGCTAAATTGTGTACCTTGAATAGGGATTATACGGGATCCTATAGCTACGGACGTCAGAGTGTCGTGTGCCAATTACTGGATCGCTATCCCAATTCAAATATTTACGTAATAAATAACACTTAAATCAGAATTTAGTATTATGAATAGATTGCAGATGTGTATACAAATTCAATCCTTGTACCTTGAAACTTAAAGTACATTTTTAACCAACTTTGAAAAGGAGGAGGTTACTCAATTCGACACGTATATTTTTTGTTTGTTTTCTAAACGTTGTAATGTAAATTTTATTTTTAGTATTTCATATATCTATGTATTTGAGCACATCCTTTTATATGTTCGTATATTTAACATCTTATACATAAATGTATAAAAATTCGCAATCTAATGACAAGTTGTAGATAAAATATATTGTGAAAAAAGAAAAGTTTTCGAGAAAGAATCATTTGCCAAAGAATAATTCATTTTACTAACATAAACTTTAAAAGATTATATCAATCTAACGTTTCACTAATAATATGTAATGGTATTTAACGTGGATATGTAGGCCAAACGTCGGAAACCATTGCTCTTTTAATGAATGAATTAGCAATCAAAAGGAAAGGTGTTCAAAGAGCATTTGAATTACCATCAAATTACATAATTCGTTCCAGGTTAAGAACTCTAGAATATAAGAAAAACGGAGAACAAAAATTCTAAGTATACGGGAGCTCAAGGCTAAAAGTAACAGAGGCAGGTTGTACCAGTGTCCGTAGTTTCCAAGTTTCTTAACGCTCGACGCTAAGAATTAACATTTAGGCTTTCGAAATCCGTGTGATAACAACTTGTGTCGATAGGTAGTCGATTTCGTCACGAGAATTGCCTAGCGTGGGTTTCTCGAAGAAAAGTAATTTGCGAATGCGCGTTCGCCTGTCCGTTAAAATTACAGGCTTGCGTAGTTCATAAAAGCTAAGTACTTATTGTGATAGTATATTTTATTGGCTTTATATGGTTTGAGCGATTCAAACCAAACTTGTATACTGAAGATGAAATTTCATCTGACGTGTGTAGTTTATCGTCGAGTTTAGTTGTAACCGATGATGTAAAAGGAATTGAACAGTTACAAACGAGGAGTACGCAATTACGCATGCACCATACTTCATTACACTCCAGCCGAAGTAATTTACGCTTCCCTTTGCACGGTATGAAAAATAGTTTTTCCTCGGAGATCATGTTGCTCCTTAAAGGATAACGGTATCTTTTAATCAGCCTGAAGAAATGACTCGCGAAGATGAAGAAGTAAATTCCATTACCTCGAAAGATAAGCACTAGTGGAGCTGAAATGGATTGCAGTAAAACCACGATTTAACGGACAGTAAGCGAAGGTGTTTGAAGCGACAAATGCCTTTTCTCCTTACGAAACTATTCCATAATTGCATGTAATATTTACTAAACGTAAACAATATTCCTTTCATTCCTATATGTGTATTAACTGCCTAGTTCCAGCAGAACAATCGGAGAGGGTGTATACAAAACAAGTGCCTCTCCTTCTTACGGAAGAATTCCAAAATTGCCTTCAATATTTACCAGATGTAAACAAAATTTGAAATAACTATTACCTACCGTGAGTAACTTTAATATTCGGACATGTCACAATTTTCACTTTGTCGCTTTATGACTTCGTTTAGAATATTGGATAAAATAATTGAGACATATATTACGTTAAACTGATTAAAGCATTAAGCCTAGTTAATAAATGTACAAAGTATATTAGTTTAAAATGTTTAAATTATAATGTTTCACATAAAATATATCATAAATAAAACAGTATCTACTTCTACCGTTACTTTAATATTCGAACAGCTTCAAAAACCTCTAATTAATATACCAATTTTTGTTAAGATACAGTATTTTTATATTTTGTCGGAAATCCTTTTTAACGAATAACTTCTTTCAGGCATATAGCAAATCATTTTTTTAAAATATTCTGTACGAATGTTATTGTATCCTTCCTTTAATCTTAATTTCTGTGTAAAATAAATTGAAAAAATTACTAAATGTACTTTAAAATGTACGTGAAATATTATTAAAATTATAAAAACGTTACATAAATTCTTCTCTGTAAACAAGGATATTCCAAGAAACACGTAATACTTGGACTCTTAATTTGCTTTTCACCCTTAATTCAAAATGAACTTATGAAGTGACAAAGTGAAAACTCTGAAGTGTTCGAATATTAAAGTTATCTACTGTATAAAACGATATCCTCTTCGCCCCTATTTTTGATATTTCTAGTTATGGCAAGTGCCCTATCTCGAGGGGTTAAATTCGTCTCAAATATTGTATCACTTTGATTGATATAGGCGCCAAGCCCGCCACGCTGGGATC